ACACACACACACACACACACTTCCACATACCTGTCCGAATGCCTGAACGTGATGTCAGAACAAGTTTCTCAGCCCCTCGAAGAATGAGCCATTGAGCTAATTCAAGCCCAAAGCCACCAAGTCCTCCTGTGATGATGTAGGACTTATAGTTGGGGCAAAATGTCTTGGAAATGGCCGAGATCAGATTGGGCTTTGCCCCTTTCATCACAGCTTGCTTCTCTTCTTCTTGGACCTGTTCCCCCCGCCACACACACACATACACTGTAGGAGGTGGATTGTTCACTCTTTTTTAGCCTCCCCTCCACCACTCTCTGTCCCACAACTATGGCCCCAGAGCTGAGGATTCTGAGCAGTTACACCTTTCAGCAGGCAGAGACCCCAAGACTGAGCTTTTTATACAAGTCAAAGGAAAGTGCAGTAATGAGCCCCAGGAGGAGTGCTGAGAGCTATTAGAATTGCCTTCCTCAAGAAAATGAATGGTCAGGAAATTACTGGGTCTACATTTTAACAGGAAGGATTCAGCTAAGACCTGATGTTGAACTTCTTGACTGGAAGCCTGGAATGGATTTATGGGATTTTTCCCTGGAAAGCTTGAGAAATAGGGGAGATGCCAAGTGGCAATAGAACCAGTTGGCACCTCAGTCTCCTTTTGGCCTGAGAAGACTATGCAAGGATGCTCTCCCTTTCTCAATGAGTTAGCCCCTAAGACAGTTACTCTCCTGGAATACCCTGGACATTGTCCTTTCCTATGGAGGAGCTCCCACCAGTTCCTTTACCTTGATGACTACTTTGCCAATGTGTTTCCCTTGGGCCATGTAGCGGAAGGCATCTTCGACCTGCTCCCTTCCAAAGACGGTGCACTTTAGGGGCTGGACCACGCCACTCTGGATGCCTGCCTTCAGCAGTTCTGCTACCTGCTTCCAGTCATCATTTCCTTCTTCAAAGAGGGCATCCAGCAGGATCCCATGGAAGGCCACATTCTTTAGGAAGACAGCCATTCCTGGGGGTGGGGGGGAAGGAGGGAGAAGCATGTGAGAGTCATCTCATCCTCATGTCACCTGCCATAAAGGCAGAGAAATGGTGATGGGTGATGGTAGCACCCTCCCCCTCAGGTTCAATGGGGACCAAGTCTAGGCCCTGCTGTGACACTCCCACCTTGTTATCCCCTCACTTCACCAAGGGGAAATGTCTTTGGAGCCTGCACCCTTGTAGCCTACAGCTTACCTAGGGCATGGTTGTTTGACAGATCAAATTTTCCAATTTCTAGGAAGCGACCATGCTGAGCCAAACACCGAACACTGGCCTGTAGCTTCTCCTCCGCCAGAGAATTCAGGACGAGGTCTACTCCTGGAATGGGGGAAGAGATTCTAGCATCAGCCTCTGGTCCTGACCCACCACAGGCTGTCCAGTCCTTCTAATCCCCTGAAACCTCTCTCTGGGTCTCAGTATACCCAGCTGTAAAAGAAGGGGCTCATGCTAGGCAGTGTCTCAACTAGCTGATGGCTTCTGACTGCCCATCTTAGGAAGAAGAAAGTGCCCTTCTCTTAAGAAATCATACTTCACAGGATAGCTGAGGTTTTCTCCCACTTTGTTCCACATTTTGTGGGCATGAATCTTTCCCCAACCTTGGGGTCCTGGGCTCACCTTTTCCTCCAGTGTGTTTCAGCACATGTTGTTCAAATGATGTGTTCCGTGAATTGGCAAAACTGGTGGCATCAAGCTTGGGGAATCTGGCCTGGAGGTAGGCCCGCTTCTCAGCTGACCCTGAGGAGGCATGTCCGCTGTTCAGCCTGAGGCAGGGGATGCTGCATAGTGCATACAGTTCCTGCCCTTGAGGAGCTCAGACTCAAAGAAAGAACTTTTTAGAGAGAGGGATTTTATCCCAGAAGACTGAAGGAATCCAGGACATAGCAGGGAAGGACCTGGAACACAGCTGCTTCAAACATAAGGGCAGGTGCCAGGGTGGGGAGATGGCAATGGAGGTGCTTTCCATGATACTGACAATTCAAAGTTCTGAAACCAACACTGAGAAAAACCAGGGATTTCAGTTAGATAAGAGGGGAAAAAGACCTGGTTCTGGTTTTGGCTCCAACAGCTGACCAAGTCTGAGTCCTAGTAATACCATAGATAAAACACCCATTTCTCCTGGCCCCTCTTCAGAGGAGGGAAGGGGAAGGGGTCTTTTCTGGGGCTGACTAGCCTGCACTCGGAACCATAGCAGGCAAGTATTCAAAGAGCATTTCAAGTGGGAACAAGATGGAAAAAAACAGAGTACATGTGACAGGCATGGTAGGAGGGAAAAAGGGATAGAGAACCAGGGGCAGGGAGGGACATGGCTCTTACCCACGGTGGTAAAGACTCGGCAATTCATGCTCAGAGCAATTGCAATGGCAGCCTGGCCAACACCCCCAGAGCCAGAGTGGATGAGCACCGTCTCTCCCCTTTTTATGCCCCCACGGACCACCAGCGAGTAGTAGGCTGTGGTATAGACAACAGGCACAGACGCAGCCTGTTCCAGAGTCCTGAAGATGGGGATGCCAAAGGGAAGAAGGATCAGATGCAGAAGTGACTGCTGGGTTAGTCCCCTATGTCCCCCCCACCCCATTCCATGTTGGCCTTTTCCTTATCTGCTTTCTTGACCCCCATGAGTGGTCTCGGAAGTACTAAAGCCTACAGCAGCAGTTATTCCTCCATACCCTCTTTTGCCTTACAACACTTGTCTTCACCCTCTGCTCCAGATGAGATATCTATAAACTTGGTTCCCTAGACATCTTCCTACCTCGTGTCCATGGCACTCAAACGAACTTACCAGTTGGCTGGCACATCCCAAAGGAAGTCTGGGGAAAGGAGTACTGAAGTGGCCAGGCCTTCAGCAGGCACCAGACCCATCACCCGTTTGCCTGTAGCATCTTGACCTGAGAACTCCATGCCCATCATACAGTCCCGGTTGGCCCATTTCCCTAGGCGTGAAGGGCAGATTTTGTTGAGTCCCATACACAGAGCTAGTGCCCAGCTCATCTCCTTTACCCTGGGCTGGGCCATTCCTCTCAGGGACAGCTTTTCACTGTCCTACTTTTATCTCCTGTCTGCTGTTGCTATATTGCCTCTTGGGTTTTAAAAACTCTACTAGTTTCTATTCCAGAAAGGGAAGAGAGATTGGTCACTTTTGCAAGTTTGGAAAAAAAAAATCACTGACTTCTTTTCGCCAAATCCTTGGCTGTTAGGGAGCAGGAATATGAGCTCCGGGGACAGATGAGGAGGCGAAATAATGCTACTTAGCCTCTCTGTGTTAGGAAATACTTAGGAAGGTTTCCAACCTCTCAACTCAAAACTCAGGACACCATTCTTATCTCTTTGGAGGAATTACTTTCCCTTTTACTTCTCTTTCATGATAGTTCTGTCCTACCAGTGAGTGATAACTGGAGCCAAGAAAGATTCTTCCCTATATAGCTACAAGGAATACAGGTTCTAGAAGCAGTCCTCTTGGCTTGTGCTGGGGGGAGGGCCATGGAGAAGGGTTAGCACCACCACTCTCCACCCTCTCCTCTGCTAGCCAAATGCTTTAGCTGCTGCTATGCCCTGACAGTCCCCTGATCTTCCTATACTGCAAAGCAGTTTGCTTTGCTGGGCTCATGACCATGTATGCTTTATGGCTGGTCAGCCCTAGTCACATTTGTCAAAATGACTCCCCAGGGGCCCAAGCCAAGCCCCTTGGATTTGCTGGGTCTGTGCACCTGGGATGGCATCAGGGGACAGTTTGCCAGTGGCCAGCATGATGTCCCGGAAGTTGAGTGAGGCATAGTAGATCTTGCAGAGTTGTGAGCTGGGGCCAGTAGGCTGGGCGTAGCGCAGTGGGGAACACACCCAGCTGATGGAAGAAAGGTCCCCTCGGGTCAAGACGTTGACAAAGGCATGCTCTGTCTGCATCGTGGGTTTGCCTGGTGGGAGTAAGAGGAACAAAAGGAGTCCAGCTGTGAGGGGGCTGGCTGAGTGACGAGAGGTTTGTTTTTTTTTCCAAAGACACAGATGTGGCCACATGAATAACCCTGGAGTAGAGGGGTGGAGTGTGACCCCAAAACTTCCATCCCAAATCTCTTTCATATTTCATGATATATCTCACCTCTCTCCCTTCTGAGCAACCAAACTGGAGATGGAATTGGGTCAAGTTGCTCCCCAGGGCCCAGGGAGCTCAGCCTAAGGGAGGGGTGGTGTGTGTGTGGATAATATCTTAGAGGTAGATAGAGGGAGAGGAGAAGGGAGGGGGAATGTCACCTTCTTTCAGTGGGAGGTGGCGGAAGGCCCCCCATTTTCCATCGCGGTACACATTCATCACCAAGTCCCCTTGTAAGAGCTGCTGCATCTCTTTGGTGGATGGGCTGATTTGGGGGATGGTGGAGGAGGAATTGAAGTTGGATACCAAGACACACCTGAAAGAGTTAAAAGAGTAGAGTCAGGGTGGGCTGCCTGGGGTGGGAGGGAAGGGAGACAGAGAAGATACCTCAGCAAGTGCGCTGGCATCTTTCCATACCGGATTCTCTGCCCGCCTGGTTCTTTTCGGAGACAGGTCACCATCCCCACAACACCGGAGGTGGCACAGCCAGCCGCCATCAGCCACACTGGTTGGTTGGAAGACTCTGCCAGAATGGTCTGTAAGAGAAGTCCAGGGAAGGAAAATAAATTTTCCTCAAGTAGGAAAGGACCTATTTGAACACAGGGACCAAACAAAGTACGTAGCAATCTGGCTTCCCCATCAACGTTATGCTCATCAGAGCCTACCTCAAGGAGCTAGGGACCCAAACAAGCCACTCACCTTTAAGGAGTCCACCCATTTGTAGTGAGTATCCTCCACGTGCAAGAAGATGGGGCTCTGGGGAGGGGCTTGCCGGCGGCACAGGAAAATAGCAGAGCCATAGAAGGACTTTTTCAGCCCCACCAGGTGCAAGGAAGCCTTCTGGAACACATTCTCCCACTCGGCCTGCCAGGAGAGATGAGGAACAGGTAGGGCCGGGCCAGGGGGAGCGGACAGTCCATGAAGCACTGCCTCTTCTCCCTTAACCTCTGCAGGACATGATGCTGATGGGGGTGTCCCCCACCTCTCGAGCTTCCCCAGTTCTTCACAGTTTCTTCACAGATGCTTAGAATCAATCAATCAACATTTATTAAGAACCTACCATGTGTCGGTCACTGTGCTAAGCACTGGAAGAGGCAAAAGACAGTCCCTGTCCTCAAGGAGCTCACAAAAAAAGGGTTCTGAGCCTTTAAATGGAGGCGGGGGCAGGGTGGGAGGTGCAGCAAGGTCCCTGTCCCTTGTCCTCTGCTTCTTCATCTCAGTGCTAACTCCCTAAGTTTTCCTTCCTCTGTCTTCAAGTCACACATTCTGATGCTGTTCTCCTCTCAGCAGTGAAAGCCTCTCTGGCTCTCTGGTTCTTCAGTATGACATCACCCTGTGCTGTGACAGGGCTGGCTAGGGCGGCATTTTTCTCCTTCATTCTTCTCACCATGTCCTCAAATCCCACTGCCACACCAGGCCTTTGATCTGTTATTCCTGGACCTACTCCCTGCTTAAAAGGAAATAATAATAATAATACTAATAAATTCCTGTTGCTTTTTAACTCTGGGCTCCCAATGGTTCCTGGCACTGGCCTGTCCCCTTGAAAGCCTTGCTCCCTGCGGCTTGTTAACTGCCTGAGTTCCCCTGGTCCAGTGATCTCCGGGCACATGGTGGGTGAGAAGGGGTGCAGAGAAAAAGGCAAATGCCCGAGCAATTCCATCACGGCCCAGGATGACGTTAGCAGGTGAGTGTATGTGTGGGCATCTCAGACCACACCAGAGGTCCACAGGAGCTTGGCTATACACCTGGGCAGGGGTACTTCCCTGACCAATGCAGAGGGACTTGGAAACCAATCAACTGCTGTACTCTCTGGATTCATTAAGGATCTTAAAGCCTTTTGGCCCATAAATAAGTTGCTGCTATTGCAACTTGGGGAAGCTCTCTTCATTTTTTTTGCTTCCACACTTCTACAGTACTATACATTGCCTTTGTTCTCCTGTTTTCCCTCCATTGGGATTAATGCAGAAGAAAGCTGCACCCCACTGCCCTAACTGATCCTCCTTAGCCTCGAGACTGCCTCTTCCTCTATATTAGTTTACAGGGGGATATCATTCTCTTTGGTTTGGTGCCACTGACGGGGCGATCACCACAATATCAGACCCCATTAGGTCAGAGGCCCTGCTACAACACAGTGGTCCCCACAAATGGACGCAACCTCCTGGTCTGAGACACAAAAGAGCTCTCCTTTCCTGGTCAGGGTCAGGTACTCTTCCCTCTGTCTGACGTCACTGAGAACAGATGCCCCTCCTCCCCCTAACTGGGGCCAGAGAAGTGGGGATACAGCTTTTATAACAAAAGCTAGAAAAAGAACAAAGTTCCCCAAACAGAAAAAAGTGATCCCAGCAATGGATCACTTGTGTAGTCCCTAGGGCTCTTTCTAGCTCCCATTTATCTGTGAGCCCTGTTGGCAGCTAGAGATGGTTTCTCTCTTATTTGGAGGAGGGTTGAGGGGCCAGTGGGAAGGAACTCTCGGTTTGTATTTCCTAGGGGAGAAAAGGGTATAGCAGTGGCCCAAATCTCTGGTCACTCTGCCCTTGATCTTCAGGGTGTGCCCATCCTGCTTTGGGGTGGCTCAGTTTCCCCAGGGTGGGGTGTCATGCAGTTTGGAGATGAGTTTGTGAAGACAGAATTCTTCTGAGACCATTTCACTCATTCTTCAAAGAAAAGAGACACATGAAGAGCTTTGCAAATCTTAAAGTAACTTAAAATATTAGCTGTCATCATCATCAATCTTTCTCTGTCCAATGTCCCTTTGAAATGAGAGCTGAATTTTTGTTCCTTCACCTACACCCCATTCCTGAGCCTCATCACCTCTCCCCTGGACTATCCTAAGAACCTGATGCGTTTCCCTTCCTGCCTCCAGTCTCTCCCTTCTGCAGTCTGTCGCACACACTCCCATGACAGACTCATCGTCCTGCTGGACCTTTGATCAGATGTCCCCTGCCTCCCACTGATAAAAAAAGGCCCTGTGTTCTCCAGGGTGTGTCATTGAGAGTGCTATAAAGATCCCTGAAGGGAAGGTCAGACAAACAAAAAGAAAATCAGTTTAGGGAGAAACAATGTAATCCCATGATGGATTACCAAGGCCTAGAAAGAGATAGTAGTAATTGATGGTCTTTGGTTGGGAAGGTCAGGAGGGAGCATTACAGAATCACAAAACCACCACCATAACCCTCACCTGGCTCAGAAGGCTCTGTCTCTGATGCTGGTTGGAGGAGGTAAGGAAGGCAACTATCTCCCCCAAGGTCTCGCCTCTGAGGAGAGTATGCAGCAGCAGAAATCCCCCGTCCTTGATGACGGCTCCCATGTGGCTCAGGGCAGTGGCGGGATCCCTCAGGGCAGCGATGGTACAGTTACACACCAGGAGGTCAGTGCCATGAAGGCTGTCAGGGGCAGGCTCGTCTGGGTCCCACTGGCCCAGGGAGATGCCCTGCTGTTGTAATTGAGCCTGCTGACCTTCCAGGGATGTGGACTGCCGGTCAGTGGCGACATAGCCCACCTGGAGCATGGGCTGGCTGTTGAGGATGCCAGGGATGCGGGAGTACAGGTGGCCATCTCCAGCCAGAACCTTTGAAATCCAAAGAAGAGAAGAGGGGTGAGTGACAGGGAAGGGAAAGGCACTTTCTCAGCCTCCCTTTCTGCCCCTGGACTGGCCACTGTCTGGACTGTGTCGGCAGCTGTCACCCTGTCTCTGTCTCCAGAGGTCACCAGGTCACCAGATTCTTCTGAAAGCTATCTCACTATCTCCTTCAGGAAGTTTTCACTGATTTTCACGTGTCAAATGCTCAGCTAGCCAAGTATTTACTGAGTGTCTGCTATGTGCCTAGGATTGTGCTAGACTGGTGTGGGGTTTACCAAAGGGGCAGAGTACACAGTCACTGACCACAAGGAACTTAGTGTCTACCCACTTAGCTCCTGAGTAGCCACTCTGATGGAACAAAGCCAACAGCCCACGTAACCCAAACCATGCCAACTGTCTTCACCATGTGTCATACAAGGTCTAATTTCTGTTTTTACCACAGATTATCTTCCTATTTATAGCCCCTCTTGGTCAATGTTGAAGAGTTGGCATTCTCTCGGAGACTTGAGGGTGGAAAAAGCCACTGCCTTAGAGAACAGGGGACGCGGGTTCTACTCCTCACTCTGTGGCTGACCAGTTCTGTGTTATCTTGGTTAAGTCCCTTCTTCTATTTTTTTTTTAAGGCAATTGGGGTTAAGTGACTTGCCCAGGGTCACACAGCTAGTAAATGTCAAATGTTTTGGTCTGAGGCCACATTTGAACTCAGGTCTTCCTGACTTCAGGGTACTCTAACCACTACACCACCTAGCTGCCCCATAAGTCCCTTCTTCTCTCAGGGCCTCAGTTTCCTCCCCTGTAAGATGAGGTGTCAGACAAAATGATCTCCCTTTCTAAAGATAAGAATCCTTCTAGCTCGGACATTCTTTGTCTCCTGGAACCCACTAATGGCTGAGCAGCAAAGAGAGGGGGCCCGGGGCAGACAGAAATAAGTAGGAATTCAAAGTGGGCCATAAGTAATCCACAGAGAAGATGGACAAGAATGGATCCCCTGTAAAGCATATCAATGGAGACCTTGATGCCCTCATGAGTGAAAAATCATCATACTTTAAGTGGTAAATTAGTTTAAACGCACATGGTCACTAAGTCCATTTAGTTGGTCATACTGCTGTCTGAGGTTAAGTTTTCAAGGAAACATATTGGGGGGAGGGTCTGAATAAGCCTGAAGCTTATTGATTTTCCCTTATGGAGGGAGAGACACAGAGTAAATCAATCCTGGCCATGGGCCCTCCCCGGGCTTCCCTTCCCCTTCTGCCATCCATCTTTAGCGTCCCACCGTGCCTGCCACAGACACCCTCACCCTAGCTGGGGTGCCATACTTGCCTCCACCACCTTTATCTGGTGACTGGAGCTGTTTTCCAGGGCCGTGTCCACACAGGCCTTCAGCTCCAGGGAGTCCAGCAGCCCTGCCAGCAGGTGGTCCTCCTGCAAATGCCGCCACTCCTGAGCTACCACCTGCCCCAGCTCCACAGACAGGTTTCCATTGAGCTGCAGCTGGGAGGCAGCTGCCAGGAGATAGGGCAGCCCCTTCTGTGGGGGGTCCTTGGAGGGAGCAGCCTGCGCCCCGGGGAGGTCTGGCACGGAGAGCTTCACCCCGTGCTGAGCCACCTTGGTCTGCAGTTTCTGGATCAGGCCTGCAAGGAGCGGGGGATAAGTGAGGCAAGGCCGGGGCTTCCACGTAGGGGGTGGCGGGGGACAAGGCCCTGGATCCTTAACAAGGTATGGGGCTGGGCTGTCTTTCACTCCAGAACAGCTGCCAATTTGACTTGCTGTGCTAACTGGGCTAAGTTTCTGCCTTCTCAGGCTTCAGTTTCCCCATTTACAAATGAGGCAAGGGGATGACTTATACCCTGCTTTCTGAGTCACACTGAGAGTATGCTCAGATGTCCTGGGAAGACATGGGGAAAAGCAGGCACCTCTCCCCGCTACCTCACACTGCTTCTCGAAGAGGAGCAGAAGAAACCTGCTTCTAGCGCCTCTCCTCATTCTAGAAAATGAGCATGAAGGTCAATGGGTCCGAGCTGGGCTCCAGGCCACCCACTGTCACGGCTCCAGCAGACACATCACCACGAGGGTGTCGTTTCTTCTCTGAAAAACCCAGGACGTCACCTGCGAATTATCTAAACTTTTCTGCGTCCAATTTAACCTCAACAGATGCAGATGACCCGAACTAAAACTGTCAGGAAGTCCTTCCGCCTGTTCATTTTAAAACTCCTGAAGTCTCAGAAAGACCACATAGCAAACCTGGGCACAGCACCAAGCTGGGAAGGAAGCACTAACAATATGAGACGGGCTCCAGATTAAGAAAGGTCTTGACAGGCTGGATGGATGGCTCCCTATGAGATGAATCTTTTTTTTTTTTTGCCTGTTTTTTTTGGGGGGTGAGGCAATCAGGGTTAACTGACTTGCCCAGTGTCACACAGCTAATAAGTGTCAAGTATCTGAGGCCGGATTCGAACTCAGGTCCTCCTGACTCCAAGGCTGGAGTTCTACCTACTGCACCACCTAGCTGGGCCCCTATGAGATGAATCTTAAGTCCTGTGCTTGGGTCCAGAACACCAGTCCCAGAAGTACAGGAATGGGGAAGCACCAGCTTAATGGCGGTGCATGTGCCAAGACATGAGCATTTATATGGCTTGTCCCCAAAGCGACCCAGCATCAGTGAGGCGGAAAGTTCACAACAAGGGAGGTGACTGTTCTGGGCACCATGGTTTGAGAGAGAGGCGGACAAACCAAAGTGTTCCTGGGAGGGTGATCAGGGTCCTGAACACCAAGTCCTCTAAGGAATGACTGAGGAAATTGGGAATGTTTAGTTCAGATCTCTCAGGCTTTAAAAGGAGGCCCTGCATTCTTGTATTCTGAGATAGGGTGACTTTACCTTCTCTTTCCTACCTCTGAGTTTCTTATTTTTCAGCATCTATCTCCGTTTCTTCCTTTCTGACCCCTCCGGTCCCCCGTCCGCCCAGCTCCCTCAGTGTCCACGTTGGAAGACCCCCGGTCTCCTCACCTTTACACTGCTGCAGCTCTCCCTGAAGCTCGGCGTTGCTGGCCAAGCAATCACTCTCCAGATGAGGCACAAAACAGAATTTTTCCAGGATGGGCACATGCTGCTCCTGCTGTTTCCGAGGGGCCACAGAGGCATGTAGCCGTGACATCAGGACACCGCCGGCCACTGTGTAACTTAAGCAGGAGTCCACCCAGACATCTGCCACTGCAGGGGGTTGGGACAATGAGGTTTGCTGAGGGGGCAGCGTTGGCATGGCCTTGGTATGTAGCCCCAGGGTCCATCGAGCCTCAGTGCCGAGCCCTCCCCCTCCAGTCTGGGGCCCTCCCACCACCACATGTGTACCTGCTTACCCCACTGCACCCCTCAACCATGCATGAAGAGTCTTGATCCCACAAAACGGAACAAAGAGGCCAGGGGCTACCTTGTGTCTCTTCCTGGTGCTGATACACTTTCTGCTGGTGGGTGGCAGGGTCGATGTGAATGGAGGTGATGCGGGTTGGGAGGCGGAGGCTGCGCTGAGAGTCCCCCATGATGGAGACTTGCAGCATAGTGTCCAGGAAGGTCACCCAATTGTCCTTCCATAGCAGCTTTCCCAGGTTCCCTGCGGCAGCGAGAAGGGCTCGTTCGCGTAGCCTCAGTTCGAGAGGTTCCAGACCCCGACGCTACACAGGCTGCTAGGATGCTCCCAGAAGCCCATTACGTTCCCAGCTCAGTCCTACGTCCCCCTTTTACCCATCCCCCTCGCACTCAGCAGCACCTTGGTACCTACAACAGCTGCTCCAGCAACATGTCTTCAATAGGGTCCCTCTCTTTGACTTAGTGAGCCTGTTTTTGTTTTTTTACTCCCCATGAGGAGAGTCCCCAAACTACAGAACTCTCTATTAACATTGTTTTTGTCCACCCTGAGATACATAGGGAAAAGGGCCAGTTTGGGGCAAAATATTTGTTTTGGATAATGTCATATAAAATATGAAGCCCACCCTGTCTCACCTATCAATAATCAATCAATAAACATTTATTAAGCACCTACTATGTGTTGGGCTAAGCACTGGGCATACAAAAAGAGGCAAAAGGCAGTCCCTGCCTTGCAGGAGCTTACAAGGTTGCAATGGAGGACATAGGACCTAACCAGCACCCCTTGAGTAACCCCTCAATCCAAAATGATTGTCCTAATAAGAAACTCTGGACAACTAGGTGGTGCAGTGGACAGAATGCTGGGCCTAGAGTCAGGAAGACTCATGTTCCTGAGTTAAAATCTAGCCTCAGATATTTCCTAGCTGTGTGACCCTGGGCAAGTCACTTAACCCTGCTTGCCTCAGTTTCCTCACCTATAAAATGAGTTAGAGAAGGCAACAGCAAACCATTCCAGTATCTTTACCCAAAAAACCCTAAATGGAGTCACAAAGTGTTGGACACGACTGAAAAATGACTGAACAACAGCAAATAAGAGGTTCTAACGTTAAGAGCCAGAGTACTGGGGGAACTGGGTTTGGGGGGTGGATGAGAAAAGGATATACAAAAAGTAGAGCCTCGCTTTGTCAAGGATTTGTGGTAAAGGAGGCAGCCAGCCCCACAAACCCCTGGCTCCACCTGCTTGGCACAGGTGACTCAAAAGCCTGGGCCCCTCCCATCCCTCAACTGATTGACTGTTCTGGCCCTTTGGGAGCCTTCCTGGGACAAGCCACCAGACCCACCTTCAAGGTTGGTTTCTAATATGCCTTGGAAGTTGGGACCGTAGTCGTAACCACGAAGCCGCAGCTCTTTGTACACATCAGCCTTGGACAGGCTGAACTTGGCAGCGGAGGCTGCTGGACTCCGTCCTGGCTCGTAACTGAAGATGCTGGCGTCTGGCTCCTCCCAATGGTATACTTTCCCTGCGAGGAAGCAGAGGTGGAGTTGAGGGGGAGGAAGGAGGTAACAGTGTCAGCGCTGGGCCAGGTGAGCAGTCAACACTGGCATGGCACGGGTTAGAAAGCTGCACGACTGGAGGACGGTGGAGAAAGCCTCACAGACGGGAGGAGAGAGAGAGGGCCAAGAGGCCCGGACAGGCTTCTATGCCAAGGAAGAACAGCATTCAGAAATACAGAGTCACCTGACTAGTGCGTCCACTCTCTGAGAATCCCTCACTTACCACTCACAATCAGGGTCCTGTTATCAGACACTTCAAAGGTGCGAGAGGCCAACATGAGTCGTACTTCCAGAGACACAGTGCCTACAAGGGAGACAGAGCAGAGCCTTTAAGTGATGATCAGCACAGGAGGGACAGATGATTCCTTTTTTTCCTTACCAACACCTTGGATTTCCTCTGGGACTTCCAGTCCCAAATCATTAATTAGATTACCAGGTAGACAGTGTCTTTTAGACAGACAAGATTCAGGATTTAAATCTGATTTCCCTCCCCACTAGAATCCAGGGGTGCTGGCATTTGGGAATGCAGCGATGACCTCCTCAGACCTTTGGAACAGGTTGACTAGGGTTGCACTGACTCCTTCCCTCTCACCGATTTTCGGCAGGATGGTAGCCTGATGCAAGGTGACATCTTCAAATACCACAGGCATCTCTTCCATGGCCATGTCCAGGGCACGTGCCAGCGTTTTCCAGACCAGGCACAGGTAGCCGGTAGCTGGGAAGATGACTCTTCCATCAATGCAGTGATCCACCAGGTAATGGTCTGGGGATTCGGCGCTCGGATCTGTCGTGGAAAGAGGACAACCAGTCAGGCCTTGGGGACCACCCCCAGGAAAGATGGGGCGGCTCTGCGGAGTATCTCGCACCCCTCCCCTCCATCAGTGGGGGACAGAGAATGGAGGCCAGTCAGACACAGGTTCTGCAGCTGAAGGGGAACCCGAGGGATTGGCACTTTTCCATGGAGGAGGGTGGAGTGGTCCCTGGGGACTGGCCCTCTCCTCCTGTGAGGAGAGAGGCTCACTGTGCAAGAAGAATTCCCACTACAACCTGTGACATGCGGTCACGTGTCCTCTGCGTGAAGCCCCCAAAGACGGTGAAACCACTTCTCAAGGACAGACCTAATTGTCAGCCAATTTTTCCTAACCTCATTGTGACTTTGACCCACTTGCTCCTGGTTCTGCCCTCCAGGACCAGACAGACCAGATCCTCTCCCCAAGGCAGCCCTCTGGACACCTGAAAACTGCTACTGTGTTCCTCCAGGCTAAACACCCTCAGCACCTTCACATGATCCTCTCATGACACAGACACAGACCGGCATCTTCACCATCCTGGTTGTCCTCCTCCAGATACTCACTAGCTTATTAATGTCCCTTAAAAATGATGGTGGCTCCAAGTGAACACAATTCTCTAAATGAGGTATGATGAAGGTAGAGGAGGCAGAGAACAATGTGCAGTGGGTAACGTGTTGTATCTAGAGGCAGGAAGCCCCGAGTTCAAATCCACCCTCAGACACGTAGGAGCTATGCCAGTCACTCAGCCTCTGCCTGCCTCAAGTTTCCACAACTGTAAAATGGGGAGAATAACGGCAAGGTTGTTGTGAGGAAAACATGAGACTGTATTTGTAAAGTGCTTAGCCCAGTGCCTGGCACATAGTAGGCGCTTAATATATTTCCTTATTGCCTTTCTAGGCATTTCTAGTAAGTCCTAGATTGAATTTTTGGCTATCATATCTCTATTTACTTATGCTGGAAGCTAGGTGGCACAGCAGATAGAGCACTGGGCCTGGAATCAGGAAGACTCATCCTCATGAGTTAAAATCTTTGAGCTATGTGATCCTGGGCTTAACGTTGCTCCTTATCTGTAAAATAAGCTGGAGAAAGGAAATGGCAAACCACTCTAGTACCTTTGCCAAGAAAACCCCAAATGGGGACACAAAGAATCAGGCATGACTGAAACAACTTAAACAACAACAACAAAAAAACCTTGTAGTCCATTAAGCCCCCCAGATCTTTTTCAGAAGTGATGTCTAACAACAGGCCTTCTCCATCTTGTCACATGCAAACTTAACAAACGTCACCTATCCCTTCATCCAGATCACTGATAAAGTGCTAAACAGGATAGGGGTAAACTCAGGTCCCTGGAATACTCCACTGGAATCCTCCTGGCATACTGACACTGAACTATTAACAACTTTGGGTTTTTGGTTTTTTTTTTGGTGAGGCAATTGGGGTTAAGTGACTTGCCCAGAGTCACATGACTTGTGAGTGTTATGTGTCTGAGGCCGGATTTGAACCCAGGTCCTCCTGACTCCAGGGCCAGCGCTCTATCCACTGCGCCACCTAGCTGCCCCCATTAACAACTTTTGAGTCTGGCTACTCAACCAGTGTGGAATCCATAGGCCTGCCTAGGCTTTTATATATACACTTATGTCTGAATCCATCTAATTACATTATCATCTAGTCCCCCTCTCGCCATATTCTCCACAATAGCATCAAAAGCTTTGCTAAAACCTAGGTACACAGTATTTATAGCATTCCCCTCATCTATCAGTTTAATAACCCTATCAAAAAAAGAGAATGAGGTTAGTCTGGTGTGACTGGTTCTTCATGAAGCCAGGCTGGCTCCATGTAATGACCCCTTTCCTTTTTGGATGTTCACCAGTCATCTTACAAGGAACCATTTTGGAATCTTCCCCAGAATTGAAGTCAAGCTCACTGGCCTACAGCTGGCAGGCTCTGTTCTCTTCTCTCTCTCTCTTTTTTTTTGGACAATCAGGATATTGCCTTTCACGTGTCCTCTGGTATCTCTCCTGTTTCCCAGGACCTCGGCAATTGCATCTATCAAGAACCAGGCATGTAGTTCACCTGGGCCAGGTGACTGCAGACGCCCCAAGGACAGCTAGGTCCTCTCTCACGGACTCCTTACTTTTCTTGGGTATCAATACCTGTGGCCATTTTTGTTCTGTTCTTCTCAGTGTAAATAGGACTTACCTTGGCAGAGAAAACGGAATATGAAAATTGAGCAGTTTTTGCTTTCTCTTTGTTGTCAGTTCACACTGCCCCATCACCCCAGGTAAAGATAAGCACCTATTTCTATGTTTCTTTTAAAAATCTAAGTTGGACAGGGCAGCTAGGTGGTGCAGTGGATAGACCACAGGCCCTGGATTCAGGAGGACCTGAGTTCAAATCCGGCCTCAGACACATAACACTTACTAGCTGTGTGACTGTGGGCAAGTCACTTAACCCCATTGCCTCGCCAAAAAAAAAAAAAAAAAAATATATATATATATATGTATATGAATATATATGAATATATAGAAGTTGGTTGGTCAAGTCCCTGTGTATCCACTTTAGTGTCTTCAGAAAAACAGAAACGAAACAAAAAAAAGCCCAACCTTCTTCCCCTCCTCACTTGAACCGTTCCCATTGGTATCTTAACAATCTCACTTTTTCAGAATTTCCCATCCCTCTGGGTCTGACTTCCCCAGCAGAAATTTAGGCCATAGGATAACAATAACAACAATAACAATGATAACGTAACAACGACAATTTTCAGGCCTGCAAAGTACTTTGCAACCATTCTCTCACTGGATCCTCACCACAACCCTGAGAGGCGGGTGATATTATCATTTACATTTTACAGAGGAGGAGACTGAAGCAAAGATTAAGTGATTTGCTGCCCAGGAACACAGTCACAAATTAACCTGAGGCAAGATTTGAATTCAAGATTTCCTGACTTCTGGTGTAGCATTCTTCCCAGGATCCTACCTATATTTCCTCTGAACCCTTTGAAATCTGGGAAATCTGAAATTTAGGAAAAATTTTCCTAAAATCAAGGGCCCACATTTTTCTCACCTCACCACTCCAGCAATGAATTTTTCCCCATTAGTGAGAATCACATTCAGAATAGCATTTCCTCTTGTGAACATCTCTCCTTTCTATTATTACTAGATAGACATGCTGTGGATTTTTGAGGGTTTATTTTGTAGCCTGCGACTTGAGTTCCTCTGCTTTTCTGAAGAATGAAATGCTCACCAGGGCAAGTAAGGGAAACCGTTGGCCTCTCTGCTGTTTGCTGTGGGAGCTATGTAGCTGATGTCTGGAGAACCAAGGTTTCATCAGAGCCTCTGAGTGTTTTCATTGACATGCCAGCTGGACTTGTTCCTTCACCTCTACTCTCCCTGCCACTGCCCCACGCTTCTGGCCTTTGTCACCTTTCCCCTAGATTACTGCAGCAGCCAATGGTCTCTTAACAAAGTTCTCACCCTACCTCCAGTCTTCCTCCTCCAATCTCTCTTATACAATGCTAATAAGATTTTGGACCTCCATGTCATGCTGGAGACGCTAACATGGTAGTAATTTTTTTAAAGACCAATTTTTATTAATTAGGTCATGTCTCTGGTCAAGAACCAACAGACCTTCCCTTTGCCTTAAGAAATGAGGCCCAACCTCTTTGCCCCTGGTATTCAAGGCTCTCCACAATCTGGCCACATTCTACCCAATCGATCCACTTCCCCAGCATGGATCCTCTGTTCTCACCCAGTGGGCCTCCTCTCCTCACTTTCCCTTGTACAGGCTACACCATTCAGGCTTTTCCTTAAATCTAGACGAATGGCCTCCACGTCCCTCTCCGGAACTATTCCTCATCTCTCTAGTGGGCACAGACTTCCTCGTGGTAAGTGGCTGCAAATACCCACATTTGGCATGGTTTTGTAGCCCTCCAACTTTAGCAACGTCAAAGTTGTTTCCCAAGAGAGACTATAAGCTGTTTGAGGATCCCTACATTATTGTAGCACCACCACCCCCATACCTAGGACAGGTTAAAAATATAGGATAAAATAATAAGTAATAATTAATAAATAATAAAATAAATACAGGAAAAAAAGAGAGAGAGGGCTCAGTAAATACCGTCACAAACATTTGGAGCTGGAAGGGACCCCAGAGCTCATCTTGTTTAACCCTCTCTCCCTACAGCGGAGAACACGAAGGCTAAGGTTTGAGAAGTGGCTTGCCTAAGGTGGCACAGCCAGGGCCAGAACTCAAGTCACCAGACTCTCTCCTAGTCTATGTCTTTCCCTACCCCATGACAGGTTCCCTTTCCACTAGTTGAAGCGGCTTCTTATTTATATATTATACAGGTAGGTGATAGGGAAACAGAAACAACTCTGGCACCATCTGAAGCTCCCATGAAACTGTGCCCAGACTGGATCCCCTCCACTCCATTCCAAACTCTCTCTGTTGGACAGGATGCTTTCTTTCCAACATCTGAAGTCCGATTCTGCCAGGGCGAGAGGTGTATGCCAAGGATTTCTATGGACAAGATGTGCAGCCAAGTCCAGAGGCTGTCAGCTGTAGGCCGTGGGTGGGATGGGTTAGATCCCTCTGACCTTGGCCAGACCCTGAGGAGATTATGGGCTCCCCTGGGGTCAGGGCAGGGAGGGAGGAACCTCACCAATGTTGTAGACAGTGGAGGAAGAGGAACCTCCCGAGCCGCTGGGGAAGTCGCTGGCAGAGGGGACGTCCCAGCTCTGGCTGTGGTCCCACTTGATATGAGGAGAGATGAGTGGTGTTCCCACAGGGGCAGGGTACTCCACAGGTGGGAAAAGGCCATTAGGATTCACACTGGTGCTGAAGTGAGAGACAGAGAGAGCAATGGGAGATTGAATCAGAACCTTGGACACACAGAAGACTTCTCAGGGGGATGCCCAGACAAATTTTCCTTAGAAGGTCTGTCAAAGATATAAGGGAAGATTATGAGACAGTCATAAAATAGTTTTGGAAGTGACCTCCCAGGATATCTATTCTAACCACTACCTGAAGGTGAGCCTCTTGATGAGTAATGATACTGATGGTTAATAACTATATCAGAACTAATAAACCCAAATGAATGCTCTCCTTAGTCACCTTGGGAAGACAGGTGCCTTTCATTATACTGCCGATGCTCAAAATGATTCTGACCTCTTCTCTGGGAATTATCTTTGCAGCAGTCACACTATTACATGAGTCTATCGGAGCACACTCTTTCAAACACCCTTAATGGTAGAGACTGCCACTCAAGTCCTCTATCTATGTCTCATCAAGCTTTGGAGGTGACCTTGGTTCTCGAAGGCTGCGCCAATGGAATACAAGCTACATCGAGCTGCAGACACAGGCCCAGTCCAGGCCCAGTAAGGGATTAGCCTAGCAGAATGCAGAGGGACTCATCATTAGGTTCACAGCACTGGATTTGTCTAACCAAAAGTGGTTTACCTCTTGGATGGGGCCTCTAAAAAATAAAACAGAACAAAACAAAAAAAACCTACAATTCAAGAGCAGAATCAAAAGGCCTTCCATGGGTCATGACCCATGTTTGTCTGCAGGGTAGTGAATTTTTTGGACCACAGAAACCTCAAAGATTTTCTCTGGAGTTGGATGGGTTGGTAGAAGGAATGATCATATAGGGCAAATTATAGAACCTTGAATTACTGAAGTAAATGCTAGCAAATCTTCCTTGGAGGCAGATCTGATTTTTAGAAATAGCAAAAAAAAAAAAAAAAAAAAAAAAAAAAAAAAAAAAAAAAAAGAAAGAAAAGAAAAGAAAAGAAAGAAAAGAAAAGAAATAGCTCAAAGACTCTGGGAGCCAAGTCTGATGAATAAGGTGGGTGATCATGCTGAGCAATACCATTTTGGGTTAGAAACAAGGTATGTCTTTTAAACGAGCTTGAAAAGCATTTCCAAAAGGAGTTCCTGAAATATTTTGAGTAAGAGCAGCACCATTTGAAATAAATATCTAGTTTCCCAAAGGAATTACCTTGAAGGAGTCAACACCAATAGAAGTCATATCAATTCCTGTACATTAATTTAAAACGAAAACGACCCAACAACCAAACTCTTTGTTTTATAGCCACCATATGCAAGTCAGTATCCATTATCCATGGGTGGATAACTGCTTTGTGAAATAAATAACTGAACCAGGTACACCTCCCTGCCCTTGTCAGCAAAGTCCCAGATTTCACTTGGGCTGAGCTAGGGTAAGACAGGAATCAGATGGACAAGTGGTGGGAACATTTAGAGTGTTTAAACAGGCAAATGAATGTGGATGTCTATCTAACAAAACTGAAACGGCACCTGAGTTACCCATATCTCTTCCATATTAGAGAAGACAACTGAGAGTTTGAATGGACTGGGCTGGGACTCTCTCTTTCTTTTTTTTCCCCCTTTTAAATAGTATTTTATTTTTCCAATTACATGTAAAGACAATTTTTAATATTCATTTTCTAAAATAAAGTTTTGAATCCCAAATTTTCTTCCTCCCTCCCCTTCCTTCTCCCTAAGATGGTAAATAATTTGATATAAGTTATACATGTGCAATCATGTAAAACATATTTCCGTATCAGCGGGACCCTGTTTTTCTAGGATCCCCCATGGGGCTGTGATGGTGAAACCTGGGCTAATCCCAAGTCTCTCCCTGTAGAGTGTGAATAGCACCCTCTCCCCACCTGGCTCCCACTGGACTCATTTACCCAGTCAGGTGGAGCTTTCCAATGTTGGTAAGGAAGAACTCCAGGTTGTCCTTGTGGTCCTTCTTCATCAGAGGAATGATTGTGCAGGTTGGCTTCAAGCCTCTCTTCAAGACTGCCTAGGTGGGGGCAGGGAGAGACCCAGGTCAGGGAAGAAGTCATATGATCAAGGTTGCAAATGGCAGAGAGAGCAAAAGGTCATTCTTTGCCCAGCACCAGGCATCCTTCCTCAGGTGGTGGAAAGCTGAGGGGCTCAGCTCAGCCCTGATCCCAACCCTAGCTGTTGTCTGCTATGCTCCTTAACCAGAAAGTGCTTCCTGGTAGCTAACCCTTGTTTGACTTTTATGACTGATGGTCCTTCCTTTGTCTCCAAATGCCTCTAAATGTGGTCCCATAAAGTATCTATACAGTCACTACTTCTATTTTTCTTTCCAGTCTGTTTTGTGCCCCTGCTGAAAAACTTCTCAGGATTCTATGATCTACCTGTCACCAAATCTGATGGTACTTTCTCAATTATTATCCTCTGTAATCCTTCAGTAATAAGGTTAGATCTGGCCATTCTCTTCCCTGGTTTCAGTGATTTTGCCCTCCTCTGGCTCTCTGAGATATATATCTAGATATATATCTATATCTATATAGATATGTATGTACGTACACACACACACACACAATTACTCCTTTTTCTCCTTTAGTCAATCCCCCTCCCCCCACCCACTGAATTTCAGATATTCCCTAGAGTTCCGTCCTCAGCAACTCAGTGTTTCTCTACATTCTTTGCCTCAGGGATCTCATGACTTCCAATAACTTCAAATATGTAGAGGATTCTTAAATTCCAGTCCAATCCACTGCAAGCTTGAGTTGGAGGGATAGGTAGAGGGAGTAATCATGTCAGGCGAATTACAGAACCTTGAATTACTGAAATAAAAGCTAGCCAATCTTCCTTGGAGGCAGTCTGGATATTTCCACTTGAATATCCTATCATCACTTTAAACTTGAAGTGCTTAAATCAAATAGTATCCTAATATTTATCATTCTTTCATTCTCACTACCATTTTCCTAGTCACCTAGGCTCAAAGTCTGACTTAATGTAGATTGAGATGGAAGGAACATCATATATAGTCATTAAATCCTGATTTTTCTTCAAACACATTTCTCACATGCATCCCTCCTCCATCCCCACTCTAGTCCAAGACCTCATGACCTCATGCTTAGATGCTGAACCACCCTGCCAACTCTTCTATCCAGATTCAGTATCTCCTATGCAACACCATCAGATTAATCATTTTATTGGATAGTAATTTTATTATTTTTTCCTTATTAATTAATTTATTTTAGTTTTCAACGATCACTTCTATAAGCTTTAGAGTTTTAAATTTTCTCCCCCCTCCTTCCCTAAGATGGTATGCAAACTGATATAGGCTCTACATATACATTTCTATTAAACATATTTTCTCATTAGTCATGTTGTAAAGAAGAATTAGAACCAACAAGAGGAACCACAAGAAAGAAGAAACAAAACAAAACAGAAGGAAAAAAAAAAGAGCAAATCGTATGCTTCGATCCGTCAGATTAATCTTTAAACATCACTTTCAACATCTTGCTCCTTTACAGTAACTGAGAGCCTAAAATGGTCGTTCGCTGTCTGAACTCCTCATCAAGTCTAAACTTCTTTGTCAGCTTTCAAGGACCTACAAAATCTGGCCCCACCTGTCCAATCTATTTTCCCACCATTCCCCAAAAGATCTCCCCCATTTAAACCAAGATGATCTCTATCTCCCTATATGGAGCTCACTGCCTTTCAGTCATTGATTATAGTTTCCCTTGGCTCTCTTCTCAACAGCTTTTCAAAAACTCCTTTATCGTCAAGATGTATCTTTTCCAGGAAGTCTTCCCTAAATCACTTTAGCTCTTGTTCAAAAGAACACAGATTTAGAGGTAGGAGACCGTTAGAGACGGGTTGAATGCAAGTCCTTCATTTAACAAGAAGAAACTGAGGCCCAGAGAAGCTAAGCCACTTGCCCAGGGTCACACAGATGTGTGTCAGAAGCAGGATTTGAACCCATGGCTTGGTGAGTCGAGTGACCTGTGCACTCTACCACATTGCCCCTCGTTGTCTCCCTCTCTTCTGAATTCATATGGCACATATAACTTAGAAGACATAATTGCATTTTAAATATCTTTTTTTTGGTGAGGTGGGAAAAGGAGGGCTTAGAAGCAGTTTCTTCATGTTCCTTGTCACTTCTGCTGTTATAAACTGCCTGAGGGCAGGCTCTGTGGCCTTGAAGGAATTTTTCCCCTCAGATCCCACTCCGAGCTTTATTTGTTATTTCTTGATTTTATTTAGTATTGATTTTGTGTATTAGATCCACGATTGTAGCTTATCTGCTTACTAAAAGTTCCTTGATGGCAAGGACTCCATTTTAGTTAAAATTTCTACCTTACCTGTTGCCAAGGACAAGATGCATGACCCCAGTAGGTACTTAAGAAATTTCTGTTATACTGTGCTATACAGGTCTCCCAGGCAGCCCCAGCATGGAGCTAGCAAGAAACACTCTTTGCCAACTGCTGGAATGACTCTTGCTGCCACTCAAACCTGCTGGTAATACTGCTGGTGTGCTTGAGTCTGGCCCCCCCCAAGGGTCCCCGTACCTGCAGGAGGGCGTGGGGGGCGATCTCCAACACCACAGCATTGTCGGGGACATGCCTCAGGGCCTCCTGGAAGAGTACTGGGCTCACCAAGTTGTTGACGTTGTACTCTGCTGAGGACGTTTGGGCCAGGGGGCTCGTCCATTGGTCCTCAGGGATGGAGGTACTGAGCCAGCGTGAGGAGCGGGCTCGGGGACTTTTGATCACCTGTGTGAGAGACCCCCAAGATTCCAGTCTGTTCCAATTTTTTGCTGGTATTCTTTCTCTCTTTCCATCCTCTCCCCGCCAACCCTCCCCCCCAACCCAAAACAACCCATTATTATGTATCTTCTTTCATTTTTGTCCGTAGCCTCATTCTGAAAACTACATGAGCTCAGAATGGAGGCCCCAGGTTGGCCCAGTTGCTAACTTGGCTCTAAACTGTTTCTAAATCCCTCTCCAAACCTGTTCCCAGAGAGGACAAAAGAGCTCAACAGAACTTGAAAAGCACTCACTGTTCACTCCTCTTGTAATACTTTCATCCCTTCACTCCATCAATCCCTATCTACCCCCTTGACCAGTTAAAAAAACCAACTCAAAACACACCCTGCCCCACTACAGGAAGCCTTTCCTGACCCAATCACTTTTATTCTGCCTCCCCTCACCCCTCATGGTAAGGAATGGTAAGAGTTGGAAGGACATGGGATGACCTCCAATCTAATGTCATTTTACAGGTGAGGAAACTGAGGCTCAGAGGATATGTGTGAAGTGACTTTATTAAAGGCAACACAGCTAAGCTAGCTAGAACCCATCTCACCTACTCTCTAACTAGTCCCATTTCCGTATTAGACTATAAGCTCACTGACTACGGGGACCAGCCTTTGGCTCTCTTTGTATTCCTCACTCCTACACCCTCCTCGGTGCTTCCTAGAGGGTGTGTTCTACACCAAGTGGGTGTTTGGTATGTGACAGCGTCCCGACTCCCTCTCACTCACCTTCTTCAGGGCCTGGAGCAGCATGGGAGCGATGGACTCCATGAAATAGGAGTGGAAGGCAACGCCACCTGTTCTCACTTCCTTAGCAAACACCCCCTCAGCCTTCAGCTCCTTGATGAATTTGCTCACTAAAGCCTGGGCAGGGGGAGGGAGGGGAATGGACAGGGTCAGTTCCCTTGGGCTTCCATCTTCAAGGAAACACAAAGGGGAAGCATTTGGGGGAGATGGGGAAGAGGGAGGGCTTGGTCTGCGTCCCTCTTGTTATTTTCAAGCTACTATTTCCAAAGCCACAATTGTATTTGCTGGAATACATGACATACTCATTTATCTGAAAAGCCAGCTGAGAGTCACAGAACGTTAGAGCTGGAAGGAGACCTCAAGTCCAAAAACTCATTTTACAGGGGAGGAAACTGAGGCCCACAGAGGCAAAGGGACTTGCATGGAGTTATAGAGCTAGCTCATGACAGAGTTGGGTGGTGGCAGCATGCTGGTGAATACAGGTCTGCCTTGAGACGATTGCTTTTTCCATTACACCAACCTGCATCTCACAGAAAAGGACCTGTGATTTATACATGAGGCTCAGAAGATGAAAGCCAGAGCACATATCCTCTCATCTCAGGAGCTGAGCCCTCATTCTAAGTAAGAGCTCTTAGAACCACTCTGAAAAACTGTTCAGTTCCAGTCTTGTCCCCAAGTCCTAGATCAGAGGTGGGGAACCTGCAGCCTTGAAGCCAAGGGTGGCCCTTGAACACATTGTTCTGTGAAGTTTGGATTCAGTCAAAGGGCCCCACTTGAGGACCTAGAGGGCCACATGCGGCCTTAAGGCCGCAGGTTCCCCCACCCCTGTGTCTAAGAGGAAACATAAGATAAGTTCCCTGCTGCCTTGGAAGGCCAGATTCTCCAATGCTTTCTCCAGCCCAGGGACCCCACTTACCTGGGGCCCTGAAATGGTGACTGTATCCTCAGAGTTGTGGCAGGCAGGGACAACACCCTGGGGACAGCGCTTTTTGCATTCTTCCCATGACAGCCCTATAAATAGGGAGCAAAGTGTCACTTTAAATCACAAAGGGCCAGGAGGCTCCAGCAGTAACCCAGTAGGGTTAGGGTTCCTTTCTGTGGAGCACAGAGACTCATTTGTTCCCAGGGTTCCTTCTCCTACAGTGGACTTTGGTAGACCTAGTAGTTGATAACAAGTACAAGAACTTGAGGATAAGAGCGTGCAGAGTGTTCAGTACATATGGATGCTTCCACCAGCTGGATCCCCTGGCTCTGAGGGGATGGGGAGGGAGGTTACAGGCTTAAGTGGACTTCAATGGAGGTTAGGAGGGAGCAGAGGGGAGATGATAGTAAGATGCACTTAAGAATCCCAGGTACAGCCCTCCCTGCCCTGAGGGCTATAGGGTGGAACAGAGCTGGCCAAATCCAGCCAGGGTAAGATCCAAGTCACTTTGGGCTTTGGGCCATTTATTTCTAATAGATCTATGAATAGGCCTCCTACCTCCCCCTCACCACCCACTTCGGGTGGTTTAACTTTGCCTTTCTCAGACTTGTCAGGGACATTCTTCTTGCATCCTCTTCCTTCCTCTCCAGGCACTGTAGTAACTGCTGCATAATCTGTGCTTAATTATGTTTCTATCCTGTAGTTTCACATTAAAGGGTAAACTCCTTAAGGGGAAGAATAAGGCTCCACCATTTCAAATGGTTAGTTCTGGCAAGGTCTTGACCTACGCTCATGGAGCATGGTGGCGGGATGATTAACTCACAGCAGAAGACAAGAATAACAAGAATCAGGAGAAAAAGAAGAGCCTGAATTGAAACAGCACTTGATAGTTTATAAAAATGCATATTGCACACTATGAAATACATACTTCACTCCCATTTTGCAAGTGATAGGATGGAGGTTCAGGCCACTTATCCAGGCCTTCTAACTCCAAGTCTACTACCAAGATAATTTCTACTTAACTCTGGAATACATTGCAGTACTTAAACAAAACAAACAAAAAGTCCACCTGCTGTGGATTTATCTTCCAATTGTTTGATGTAGGCTAACGTTAAAATGAGCTAGCATTTCCTGGATGGTGGCCGGGAAGCAGGGTTGGAAGCCAGCCTGGAGTTAAACATTTGTCATGAACAATCACAAAGTGGATAATTAACACACGAGTCCCTGGGAGAAGAGGAGGACCACAGAATGTGAGAGGTGGAAGATCTCCTTGGAGATCACCTTGTCCAAGCTACTCATTTTATAGATGGTAAAAATGAGGCCCAGGGAAAGGGGAAGTAATTTGTTCAAGGCCACACAGCAGCTCAGTAAAGAGAGAGTTGGAACCGGAACCTAAATTCTCCAGTCTCTACTGCTCTGTGTGGTTTCTTCACCCATAGTATGCCTAGAAGGAGGTATTTTGCACAACTATGGGTAGCGGGAAAATTCTTAACCAAACAAACGACAAGAGGTGATCACTGAAGACAAAACAGACCTTTACCTCCCATGCTAGTCAGTCCATAGTCTGCTCAGGGCCTAGGGACTGTTTCTGATCTCTCCCTGTCCTGATTTCTCAGGGGAGCCTGGAATGGGCAGCCCCACATAAAGGCATGGCAGTTCTCAGACACCTACCCACAGCCGCCATGCTTCCTGCAGGGAACTTGGCATCTTTGATACACTGGCCTCTCCAGTAGGCAGCAAGAACAGCCTCATTCTGGGTGAGGCAGCCATCAGCATAGCCACAGGCCACCTCACCCAAGGAGTGCCCGACGATACCATCTGGCTTCAAGCCCATTGCCGTCAGCATGTCAATCTGGGCAATCTGAAGAGGAAGAGTAACGGGGAGAAGTGAATCAGACCAAGGATCACTGACCCTCCAATTAATACTTTCCCTAGCCTCTAATACCAAAGTGACAGTATAGGGCCAGCCAGTCCTAGCCCATTTCTTTGTTGGATCCTGAGATTCTTGGCATAGGAGGTGGGGGGGGAGTACTTGAGCATTAAAAACTGTCCTATATCATTAAAGACGACCATAAGCAGACAAACATGCGGTTTTTTCTAACAGGGTAAAAGTCAGTCATACTTGACTTGATTCCATTGCCCGCTAGACCAGTGACATGTTACACACCTGGCTAAAATTAAGGCCCTACCTTTTTTTTTAAGGCAATTGGGGTTAAGTGACTTGCCTAGGGTCACACAGCCAGTAAGTGTCAAATGTCTGGTCTGAGGCCGGATTTGAACTCTGGTCCTCCTGACTTCAGGGCCAGTGCTCTATCCACCGTGCCACCTAGCTGCCCCTAAGGCCCTACTTTTTGACCAATGAACAGAATTAATTGTTCTTTGTGTGACACTTTCTGGCCCAAACTGGGATTGAACCCATGACCTTGGTCTCACTGAACCCATCAAGCTACTGACTCCCCTCACACAGTCTGGCTAAGAAGGACCTGAGTCAAGCAGTTCATAAAAATCAAGCTACCCACCCCTCCTCACCTACCATGAGGTTTCCTGGAAAAAAGACAGAACCACACAGGTCTTCTAAACTCTTTTTCTTGAGTTAAGGATGATTTGTTTTGTATGAGTGGGTGGGTGGTGAGGTCTACTGGATGAGGTACACGTAGGAATGGGGAAGCGTCTTCTTCTTTCCTACCTGAATCGCAGTAAGACTAACAAAGGCATGGATGATGTCATCAAAGGTGGTTTCGTCCGTGCTCAGTAGTAGGTCCGACACCTTGAGGCCATACTGTTTCACAGCCTCATCAGAGCGCAAGATGGAGTTGCGAAAGATGTCCAGTCGCATGAGACTCAGGCCCATCCCCTGCCATTGTGTACCCATACCTGTTTGAGGGGTGGGAGGACAAGGTTACTTAGTTTAAACCTTATCCTCCTTTTCCCCTCCCATTTGCTGGGAGGGAGGTGTTGACCCCATCCCCGGCCCACTTCAGGGTAGCCCCAGAGGAGAGAGACTGTCAGGTGTGTATGTGGGAGGGTTCCTTGACCAGCCCTTGACACTACGTGGGGAACTCCTGGGTCCAGGGAAGAGCAGTCAGGGACAGGGTAGGAGAGAGAAGAGGGAAGCTTAGTAACTGCCACAAAAACAAATGAATTTCTTATAAAGAGGAATGTTATCATTCTTTTAGTTCTCACCCTTCCTTTCCCAGACATGAGGAAATGATGAAATGGGACTTAATGAGGATTTAGAATTTCTTAACATTAAGTGTTGGGAGAAAAAAAGAATCACAGAATTAGTGTGGATTTGTTGTATTTGGAAACAGGAATGGACAGGTCCTTCTCAAAGCTAAGATTCTATGATTAGAACAAAGCCCTGCCCCCAAGAGGGTTTCAGATGGAGAAGATCAAGGATGGGGTGGACAAAGGGGCTGGAAAACTTACCAGAGCAGATGAACCAGAGGGGTCGTTCGCCTGAGGTTACCATCTGTACCTCCCTGGCATGGCTCTCACCCCCAAGCACAGTGAAACCTCGGTAGGGCATGCTGGCTGGGGGCATGATGGCAATGTCATTGAGCATGCTCACAAAAGTCTCATCTTGGGCCTGCAACTGGCCCTGCTCCAGCAGTGTCTCTACAGCTTCCTCTGTCCGCCCGCTGACCTGCAGCAGATGTGGCAAGGCTGGGGACCGAAGGGCTGGGGCCCGCCTGGTGTTGGGCTTGAGAATGACATGAGCATTGGAGCCGCCAAAACCAAATGAGTTGATGCCAACATTGCCACCTTTGACAGGGATTGGTTTGTCCACCACCAGAAGTGTCCCATCCAGTAGGGCGGGGATTTCGGGGTTGGGGTTCTCGAAGTACAGGTTAGGAGCCCAGACCCCATGTTCCAGACAGAGAAGCACCTGCGGGTAAGTGCAAGATGAGGCAGGGGAATGAGGGTGACCTCTGGAGTGTCAGAGAGGCAATCAGAAAACCTGTTCTCTGCAGCTGGTTTTTCAGGGCTAGAGCAGGACTAGCCTCTTTCCTCCTTACACCTCAAATTGGAACTACTGAATGAATTCCATCCCACCCACTCCTGCTACCACTAATGAAGCTTTAAAGGATGGCACCCTGGGAAATCTTCCCTGCTTTACATTCAGTAACATGGGGCCTGGGAGATGGCTTACGACTCTCTAATGGGACTAACATTCTACAGTTCTACATCCCGGGGGAAGGTAGCTATTATCTGGCCAAACAGGAACTCCAATTTGTCTGTGAACCATGCCTGGCTCTTAGGCCCTACTTTCTAAGTCTTAGAAGGTTAGATCTGGAAGGCACCTAGAAAACCATTCTATCCCCTTGATTTAGAACTAAAGAAATTGGCACCCAGAGTATGGTAATGATAGATCGGATTGGTGGTCATCTTTTTCATCCATATGAGGATCCTATGGGCACAAAAGTACTCCTTGAGGTTCCTTTTAAAAATATATATATAACATGGCCTGAGAGTGGAGGGAGACAGAGGGACTGTTGGTAGACAACAGCATTAAAATATGCTTCACCATGGAGATTACCAATGATCCCATAACTGCCACATTCAATAGTCATCTCAATAGTCATCCTTCTTGATCTTTCTACAGGACTGAACACTGTTGACCCTTGGACATTCCTGGACTGTGAGTTTTGTGATACTTCTGTCTCTCTGTTCTCTTCCTACCTCTCTGACCGCCACTTCTCAGCCTCCTTTATTGGATCACCATCCATGCCATACTCCAAGGCTCTGTCCTGGTCCCCACAACTCTTTCCCTTGGTGACCTCATCAGCTCTTATGAGTTTACTGATCTATGCAGAAAACTATCAGATCTATATTTCTAGAACTCTAGTCTTTCTCCAGAGCTCCAGTCCTGCACCTGCCTAATGAACATTTCAACCTGGATATTATATGAGTTTCAAATTTAGTACATACAAAGCAGAACTCATTATCTTTTCCCCCAAACCTTTCCATCTCCACACAGATGTCCTATAAGCATCTCAGACTCAGTATGACCTAAACAGAACTCATTATCTTTCCCCTCAAACTTGGCCCCTCCTGAACTTCTTTATCTCTGCCTAGGGTTCTACCATCTCTCCAGTAACTCAGGTTCACTATCTTGGTATTGTCTTTACCTCCTCACTCTCATTCACTCTCCTTACCCTACATAGACAACCAACCACTTGTTTTCTTGCTTCCCTCTCACATCTCCTGCATGTTTCCTTCTCTCCCCGTTCACTGCCATCACACTTATCACCTCTTGCCTAGCTTACTGCAATATCGTCCTAATTAGTCTCCCTGTCTCAACTGTTTCCTTACTCCAATCCAATCTCCACACAGGTGAAGATTCCTAAATCACAGGACTGATGACGTCACTGTCCTACTCAATAAATTCTAATAGTGCCCTTTTACTTCTAGAATAAAATATAACCTGCATCCTTGACCCACTGTTGCCCTTCCCTTAGCGTTTAAAGCTCTTTCCTGGCCTAGTCTAATCTTACCTTACCAGCCTTACAGCTAATGCATACATTAACCCTTTTACATATTAAGCCCTCCAGCTATGCTGGAGGAACCACCATCTCTAAATTCCTGATATACAGGACTTTGTCTCCAGTCTGTGCATTTGCACTGGTTGTACCCCATTCCTGGAGTGCCCTCTTATCTCACAACCAGGAATTCTTGGATTTCTTCAAGACCCAGCAGAAGAGCTACGTATATCTCCTTTGTATTCCTGTATACAGGCTCACTATCTCCCCCATTAGCATATAAGCTTCCTGAGGGAGGGGATGTCTCTCTTGTCTTTGTATCCCATGATAGTCACAGAGCTTGTCAAGTGGTAAACCCTTAATAATAGCTTGTCCATTTGATTGGATTGACTGATTCAAGTAAAGTAGGTTTCCAGCCCTGCCTCCCCAACCCCACTTTCCTGTACTAGGGCCCCCCTACATGACACCATCCCCAGGAGTACAAGCAGTGACCCTAGAATTCAGGCTGGAGATAGGAGGGCAGGTAAGAAACAGCAACATAAGACTGCGGGAGGAGATTTCCAATGGGGGGGGTTGGGGAGCAGAAGGCTTCAGGGAAGAGAAGGTACTTGTCCAGAATATCCACCTCCTACACAGGACAGCAAGAGAACAATCATTCAGCCAGCCCATGGCTGCCTCCTCCCCCAGAGTCAAGCCCAATCAATCAACCACACCTAGTCAAACCAGCCAAGCCAGGCAGAGGTGGCAATCCCATTCTGGGGCCAAGTCGCCTGTTTCCCAACTCCCATGAGGCTCACTAACTAGTCAAAGAATCAAAAAACATTTGGGCTGGAAGGGATCCTGGAGGTTAGTTACCTTGTCTAACTCCTTCATTTTATAAAGGAGGTAATGGAAATGGATTGAATCTCAGAATTTTATAGCTGGAAGGAACTTTAGCAAATACCTAGTATACTTCCCCCCTTTTAATTGCCCACAGGGAATTCAGGGTAAAAGTCTTCTGATTCAGAGGTTAGAGCTTCCCCCACTCTTGTTTCCACAACTCCTATTACGTACTCTTTCCCATGCCTGCTTCCCAATTAAATCCAATTTGCAACAGCAAAATTTAAGGGCGCTCATAAGTGGAGAGACCACTCTGCAGGCTGAAATTGGGAAAGGGTAACCACCACACTCACTGAGACATTTGGTTTGGCACCATGGAAGACACATACCTCCCCCTTAGGCCAGATGACCATTTCCCCCCAGTCACTTTCCCAAGAAGGTTGTATACTTGGGCATAAAGAGAAAATCTATCTTAACCCCAACCCCAACCTGTCCAAAGCTTAGGGGGACAAGGGCTCCTTCTTCTACTTACAGAATGGAGATAAGATCCTAACAAGCTAGTCTGGGCAGGACCATACAGCTTTCTACATTGGTTACCTTGGACAAGGCTGCCAGCCCTGAGGCAGGTTCTGGATGACCCATATTTGATTTTGTGGATCCTATTAGCAGTGGCTCACAGCGAGACTGGCACAGAGCCCGGATGATGCCATTCAGTTCTTGAGGATCCCCAACCTGGGGGAACAGAAGAGAAACAGACCATGAGTCCCAAGGCCTAGCTCACCTTGAGGGCTACTTTCTACCGGGCTGGGAAAACATCTGCATAACCCTGGCTGAGATGGGTGAGGAGGTATAGGAAGAAGGGGGTGGGGTGGGGAAGGGAAACCACCATCTCACCTTGGTGCCAGTGCCATGGGTTTCAACATATTCCAGTGATTCTGGGGAGACTCCAGAATCCTTGTACAGAGATCGCATGAGCTGTTCCTGTATCTCTCCAGAGGGGAAAGTCACACCTGCAAGAAAATGCCATTTTCAAGGTCCTGACAGCCCCATAAACTTTGCCCACTGGTGGTTTCATCCCCATAAGCCATCTACTAGCGAGGTCTTTCAGACGGTATTTCAGCTCCTTTGCTGCCATGCCATGTTCTGATGCTCCCCCTGCCAAGCCAAGCGCCTCTCTTCTCTGAAGGCCGGCCAAACACTGAAGGTAACTCAGCACCTGGTACAGTCTCTTTGTCAATTTCTCCTAACTTGGGACCTTCAGATGCCACGGGTTCAAAATGCTGCTTTCCAGGGATGTAGCTTTCTCCAAAGTTACCGATAATCTCTTAATTGCCAAATTAGTGATGGCCTTTTTTCAGACTTCCTGTTTCTTAAACCTATCCACACCATCTGACAACATGGACTACCTTCTCCTGGACACTATCCTCCCTGAATTTTGGTGACACTGCTCTCTCCTAGTCCTTCTTCTATCTGTCTGACCACCAGTCTCTCTCTTTTTTTTTGGTTGGGCAATGGGGGTTGAGTGACTTGCCCAGGGTCACACAGCTAGTAAGTGTTATGTGTCTGAGGCCAGATTTGAACTCAGGTCCTTCTGAATCCAGGGCCAGTGCTCTATCCACTGCGCCACCTAGCTGCCCCCTACCAGTCTCTTTTGCTAGATACCATCCATGAAACCTCTAACAACACCCTCTAAATGTGAATGGATCCCAAAGCTCTGTCCTATTCTGTCTCTCTCGGGATTAAGTGACTTGCCCAGGGTCACACAGCTGGTGAGTATCATGTGTCTGAGGCCGGATTTGAACTCAGGTCCTCCTAACTCCAGGGCCGGTGCTCTTTCCATTGAGCCACCTAGTTGCCCCCCGGGCCCTATTCTCTTTCCTCTCTCTACTCTCTGTTGGTGACTTCATCAACTCCCATGGGTCCAATTATCACCTCTACCTGGATGTCTCCCAGATCCAGCCCTAGCCTCTCTCTTGAGCTCTAGCCCCTCACCACCAACTGCTCAGTGGACATTTAAAACAAGACGCCCCACTGGCATTTCAAACTAAATATGTTCAAAACAGAACTCACTGTCTTTCCAAACTCACCCCCTTTCAGACTCCCCTTTCTCTATCCTTCTGGTCACATGAGTGTTCCACACTGATGTCAGCCTCTAATCTTTGCCCTCACTCATTCCATGTATCCCCTCGGTTGCCAAATCTTCCCATTGATAATTCCAAAACAGCTTAGACAACTCATCCTTTCCTTTCTACTTGCAAAATCACTAATCTGGTTCAGACTCTCATCAAATCTTCCTTGGACACCTTTCTAATTGGCCTCCCTTCCCCAAGTCACTACTGCAATCAGCTGCTAAAGTGACTTTTGGAGGTTTGACTACAACACTACTCAGTAAATTCCAGAGGCTCCCTGTTACTTCTAGGATCCAATATAACCTGCTGCTCAGTTTGGTATTTAAAGCCCTTTACAACCTGGCCATTTCTTCCTTTCTTGACTCATTATGCAACATTCCCCTTCATCCACACTATTCCTCATATATCCACACTATCTCCCACCTCCATACCTCGAGTACATTCCCCCTTCACTTCTGCCTTTCAGAATTCTTATTTTCCTTGAAAGTTCAACTCAAATGCCATTTTCTACATGCAATCTTTCCTGATTTCCAGAGCTGCCAGTCCAAGCCTCCCTCCCCTCAATAAATGACCATCTGTCTTTCTTGTATATACCTACATTTCTGTGTGTTGTTTCCTTTGGCTAGGTTTTAAGCTCCTCAAAAGGCAGGGACTGTCTTTGTATGCCCAGCCCCTGGTAGAGTGCCTGGCACATAGTATGTGCTTAGTAAATACTTGCTGATCAGGTGAGTGGTGTGGCTTCCCATGGCACTAGTTGGGGCTAAAGTCTTCTTGGCCTCCAAAGAGGCTGTACTAGGAGGGCAGAACAAGGCCCAAATAACAGCACCCAAGACACGCTCCATCTGCTGTTGCTAGTTCTCGCCCGGTGACCCTGGTAACCCAACCCCTGACCTCATGACCCACCTTGCTCCTTATAGCCATCTGTATTGGTGCCTGCATTCAATACTGTGGCATAAACCCTCTTTGCCATGGATTTCTTCAGCATTAGGATGGCCACCACAGCCTCAGACCGGCAATACCCATTCCCTGAGGGAAAAGACAAGATTCTCTTAGGACTTCATATTTGCCCTTCAACATAAACCAAAGAAAAGGTTAGCTTTAGGCTCCTACCCCTGCCCTCTTGAGGACATGGCTCAGTGTCAGTTTCTGCATCTAAGAAACAGATGTCACTCCTCAAATTGCCCCCACAGGTGTCTCAGTGAGAACTCAGCCACTGAGTAGCTGGACCAGGCTAAGAGTAAAGGCTGGGAGGAAGAAGCCAGTGGTTGAAGTCACAGCACCCTGAATGCTAGAGCAGGAAGACACCTTGCAGAGCATTTGGTTCAACTCCCTCATCTTAAAGAATTGGGGAAACTGAGGCTCAGAAAGACTTGGTGTTAGCCCATGTTGAACTGCCCCTCCTGGCTAGCTGGGAAAATTCCCATAAGGCCAGATCATCAGCCAGTCTTTTACTGGGCCAGACTTATTGAAATAAATGATGGGAGAATTTTCATATTCCATGGGCCCTCAGAGATATTTTAATCTAATCCTCTCATTTTACAGATGAGGAAACTGAGGCCTAGAGAGCAGTTTACTACATTACAGAAAGTTGGTGGCAGATCAGAGACAGCCAGTGTGGCTTTGGCCCATTCCGCTAAAGCACACTGCCTGAGTCCTTAAGAATAATAAGAGATGATGTCCCTATGGGGTCTCAGAGTCTATGAAGTCCTTTACGTTTATCATCTCATTTGATTCTCACCAGAACACTGTAAGGTGTGTTTTTATTCTCTCCATTTTAAAGAGAAATGACCTGAGCTGGGCCACACAGCTAGTCAGTGGCAGAATCTGAACACAGGTCTCTCCATATTGCACATCCAGTGAACTTTCCATTATGTACTATATTGCCTCTTCTGAAAGCATGACTAGAAAGTGGGGCTAGCTAGGGTACAGCAGAGACATATTTGTTTGCTATTGCTGTTACTGCTATCCTGCGCCATCTCCGTGGAAGGCTCCTGACACAAGGCTGCTGGTAAGCCCCTCCCTCATTACCTGAAGCATCGTAGGCCTTGCAGGTCCCCTCAGGACTAAGCATGCCCAGCTTCATGAACTGGAGTGAGGTGTTGGGCTTGAGCAGGACATTAATGCCCCCTACAATGGCAGCACAACATTCCCCGGAAGCGACGGCCTGGAACGCACTATGCATAGCTACAAGGCTGGAGGAACATGCAGTGTCCACGGCAATACTTGGTCCTGCAAACAAGAGCACAAGTGATAGGATCAGGAAGTGGGGATGTAGAGGAGGGGGAGAGAGTCGGGAAGTCTCTGTCTCCAACTTGGCTGAGGAAGAGACAACTGGACAACACAGGGGTCGTGGGGACCTCCATAAAGATTTGTGTCTAGAAAGAAGCAGGGGCTAGACTATGGACTCTAAGCAGCCCCAACCCTGCCCAGTGCCCACAGGGTCCATTATCAGCATCATCACACAATTTACTGATATACTGAGCCCCAGAGAATCCTAGAACTTAAGACCTTAAGGACCTCAGAAGAGCCCCAGGGGCTTCCTAATAAGTCATTTATAGGATCAAAGATCTGGAACTGGATGAAACCTTGAAGGTCCTTTTACAGATGACTTAAGTGAGGCCTAGACCAATATGATACCAATGTAAGGAGCAGAGTCAAGGCCCCTTACTCTAATCCTATGCTCTTTCTACTCTCACTATCATGCTTTTGTTCAGTCATTTTTCAGTCATGTCTGGCTCTGTGTAACTCCATTTGGGGTTTTCTTGGCAAAGATACTGGATTAGTTTGCCATTTCCTTCTCTCGTTCATTTTATACATAGGGAAACAGAGGCAAACAGGACTAAGTGACTTGCCCAGGGTCACACAGCTAGTAAGTGTTTGAGGCCAGATTTGAACTCAGGAAGATGAATCTTTCTGATTCCAGACCCAGAGTTCTATTTACTATACCATCTGGCTGCCCATTATCTTTTCTAGGAAAGTGGGAAAAGAAGAAAGGAGGCATCTTTCTTTTCCCTATAACTGGGAAGACAGAGGCCCAGAGTGTGTGTGGGGGGAAAGGGAATGGTTGGAAGTCACAGAGAATCAGTGTTTGTCACGCTGGGTCCCATGACCCCCTCACCCACCTTTTAGGTCAAAGAAGTAGGACAGCCGATTAGCCATCATGGCCCGCTGGCAGCCAATCATGCTGTAGCCCACGAGTGTCTCCGGGTCTCTGCTCAGGGCCTCGGAGGCCTCTGACCCACTCACACCCACCCATACACCGGTGTTGGTCCCTCGAAGTGCAATTGGGTTGATGCCTGCCAGGGAAGCAAAACTCTCAGTGTTTGGGGTGTGCACATTCAGAGAATGCCTCTCACCCTAGCAGCCTAGGAGACATGAAGCTGCCTTGGCATCAGGGGCAGTTTTTTCCCCTCTACCTTGGAGGACCCTTACTTTTGGCTGGACCCTCTCTAGTCCTACGGCAGAACTTAGCTGAAATTGTGATTTTCGGAGCCCATGTTAGACCGGGAAAAAAAACCACAGGGCCAAGAAAACATTCTTCCTAATAAGACAGGAGGGATGGGTAGAAGGGAAGAAGAAAATGTGAAATAGCTTGGAAAGAGTTTAGGGATTTTTTTTCCTCTTCAGAAATCCAGAAGGATATTGGGAATTAGCAGGCTATGAGGAGAAGAGGAGAGGTAGAGGGAAGACAGGTTCACACTTCTCTATTTGTATAAGACCTAGGATTCAAGCCCACAGAACTTGGGACCAAAGAGGGACAAAGGACAAATTGTCAAATATGTTTCCAGCATCAGACTTAAAGATGCATTCATTTGAGCTGTGGGTGCTGGGAGAACAGAGAGATGCATCGATGGGAGGGACCCTCTCTCCCTAAGAATGCGCTTGTCTCCAGTTATTCGGCTGGAAACAGATTAAACACATCACTGACCAAATGATCACCCAAGTGTTAACAGCCTGGTCGGCTGAGATACTGTAACCCAAGGACACAAAAGTCAAGTGTCCACAGATGCAAGGAAGAGATGGACATCGACTACATCTGGGGCTCTCAAGGGCAGGGGCAGAGAGGCTGCAGGGAAAGATCCTTGGGAGGTTTTCTCTTCTTTACCAGTGAACTAGCTAGGAGTACAGCTCCTCCCCATTCTACCCCCAAATCTGCTGTGCCCTGTATGCAAATGGTCCGCTAATGGCCTAGACAGCATTCACTGTTAACACCCCAATTAAGGTACAACCTGTGCCACTGTGTCTGACTAAATGACTATGTTCCCTGAACGACAGCTCATACAGAAAGGAGCACTCCTATATTTTGACTTAGGCTGAAAAAACAAACAAAAAAACCCAAAACAAACAAACAAAACAAAAAACCGGTGGCTAGCCCAGGGGTGGGGAACCTGCAGCCTCAAGGCCACATGTGACCTTCTAGGGCTTAGCCCATCAAGTGACCACTGGACATTAGTCCATCACACACAGGTACACAAGCCAGACGTCCTCCCTTTTGCACCGTGACCACTTCCTCCACATCAAAAATTGGCTAAGAGTATCGAAAGATATTCCCAAATGTTAGGAGGTTCCTAATTCCCCAGGGTTCCCTACCCATAGAAAATAAGAAGGGCTTTCATAGGCAATTAGGTCCAGCCCCCTCATTTTTCAGATGAGGAAACAGAGTCTGAGACAGGTCAAGTAACTTGCTCAGAGTTACTCAGCTCGTAAGTGTCTGAGGCAGGATCTGAACTCAGGTCTTTCTGATTCTAAGCCTGGAACTACTACACATCATCATCCTGTTCCCAAATAAGACAGTAGTACTAGATGGTCCAGTTTTTGCCAACTAGATTATAGATTTAGGGCTAGAAAAGATCTCAGAAAACATTTTGTCCAATACATTAATTTTACAGATGAACAAACTGAGGCCCTAGCAATTTAAGCGACTTGACCTAGTAAACACAGGTGGTAAATGGCAAAGGTAAGATTTGAACCTGGTCCCAATTCCAAATTAGTAGCCACATGCTGAGTCTGTGACTAGGAAATGAGGAGTGATTTCAAATAAAGACAAGGAATATCTATAGTACTCCTCACAGGTCCAGTATTTAAATGGAATGAAACCCTTGGGCTATTCAAGGGACCCAGGGCCCACAACAGAAAAACTCAGGCACAGAGAAAATTGGACCAACCCAGCCTCCTGGTGTTTTTTCTGGCCACAGATGACCTATCTCCCTTAAAAAAGGAGCAGAGTTAATCAGGCAGTTTTTCCTTGATGCCCAAATTCTGGGGGTGTGGAAAGGCATTGGGATACTTTCTAGAAGTGAGTTAGGAGGGGAAGGAGTATTAGGCATAGTGTGAAACAGGAGAGATAGTAAGAAATTAAAAGCAGGGAAGGTTTAGAGTTGCCAAAAGAGGGCTGGGCAGGGAGGGTGAGTAAAGAGTAGAAAAGGAAAGGGCAGAGAATGCAGGGAAAAGGAAGTGAAGAGGGGGCAGGGCAAGGAGAAGGTGGAGGAGAAGAGAGGTGAAGGAGGTGGGGAAGGGGCCCTGCAGCCACTTGATCTATTCCAAGTGAGAAAGGCCCCTGCAGCAATGTGATACAGAGAAGAGCCAGGCTGCCAGAGAGCTCCCACTGGCAGAAGAATGGGCATGGAAGCTGTGATGGCAATAAGAAGCATTATCAGAAAGGCCTGGCACTGATGGAGGAAGAAGGTGGAACATTCCCCACAGAGATGTGTGGACTAGAGGAGAAATGGACTTCCCAGCCCAGGAGAGTGGGAGGAAGCCAGGCGACAATGGCTGAGCAGACAAGCGAGCAGCAGGGAGTCCTGGGGTGGCTGCTGGTTGTGTGGTCTTCCGAATCTGCAGTCCCTGAAGGTTTACGTGTGCCCTCCTTATGGCTTGGCTCTAGGAGTCAGAGCTGGAGAGTGGGAGGTGAAAGCCTTGGGAGGGGGAGAGGGATGGGAGACTAGGAAAAATGGGGGCAGGATCTGGGCTAATTGAGCTGGAAAAAATCTCGGTCATTGATCTGCTCTGTGAAATACACCCAGCCCACCCCCTCAACAGCCAGCTCTAGGCTTTGAATGTTCAGCTGGCAATAGGGTGGGTGGCTGTTTGGTTCCTCCCCCCCACAGAGATCACCTCGAGGGTATTTGAGGAGAGTCTCAGCCCCAGTTCAGCCTCCATCTTAGGTCAGAGGAAATCCCAGAGCCCCAGTCCATTATTTCTCAACCTAGTGACACCTATTGTCCCACCAAGGAATTTTTTCTTTCCCCACCTCCTCCTTCTATCCCTTGATCAAATTCTGGCTGATAAGAGAAAGCAAACAATGGAAGTTATCAGATATCAAGGACATCTCAGCGACAAACTGGTTAAAAAACAGTAACCCCATCCTATCACCCCCCCCAACCCCAGTCCACCCACCAGTCTTAAGCCAGGGCTGACTAAAATTCAGAAGCACAAATCAGTTAACCACTCCTACCTAGGAGCCTCCAGAAGAGGTATCTGTTCCTTCCCACTCACTTCTGACTACACATAAGGCTGAGAACCACCTCCTCTGGAGCTCCATTCCAGACCATTTGGGACTATTGAGAGACCCTGTTCCTGAACAGGGCTGAGTGATTCCCCCCCCCCCCCCCCCGCCCCACAAGCCTAACTGACCAGGACACTGCCACTCACCTCCATCCACGATAGCTTCATAGGTCACTTCCAGTAGTAAACGGAGTTGGGGGTCCATTGTGTGAGCCTGTATGGGGTGGACCCCGAAGAAGGAAGCATCAAACTTGGACAGGTCCTTTAGTTTGCCTGATCTCTTAGGCAGTCCATAGAGCCCTGTAAGGAGACAGAGGCAACATTCCTAGTGTCTGGCCCCAAGGCAGACAAATTTCTCCTCTCTAGGCAGTCTTCTCTTCCTCCTCTTCAGCCAAGAATTACTGATCACCCACCCTGAGACCCATGACATTCCTCACCCTCAAAGAGGTCAGAGTAGATAGGTGAATTGAAAAAGTGCAGTTCCAACAGGTGTCTCAGCTAAGCTACAAGGAATTCAGAGAAGTCAGTGATCACAGAGCAAGGAGAAAGCTTCATGGGGGAGAGTGGGGCAGCTAGAGAATGAGAGACTGGGCGGTCTAGGCAGCACTAAATCTAATGTGTAGGCAGCCTGGTTCTCCTCACTCCCTCTCACTATCATGAAAGTCAGTCCCATTAGGACTCCCGGCTTTGGCACAGTGACATTGCCGTGGGCTAGGCTAGGGGGAACATTGGGCCACATCAGCATTCTGCACCTCTATGCCTAAGCTGGGAAGCCCTCGGCCCAGTCTGATGTTGGCTGAGCCCTGTAGACTGGCTCTGGTGAGTCATATCCTGCCTGTCAGGTAGGACAGCTCCAGAGAACCAAGCTGGGCGTGAAGGGGGTTCATACTGAGTGTTTCTCTGACAGGTTGTGTGACTGAGGGGAGGGAATAAAGGTGCCAGAAGTGTCCATGTACACTGCTGGGTCAAGGAAGCCATGTAGGGAGGGCCTGGAGACATCCCCCGAAAACACTTCATTAACTTTCCCCCCCCAGACTCCAACAGGAGCTTTTCTTTCCCTGTACCACATCCTAGAAATAGTTTTTCAGGACCAACTCAGAGGAATTAACCCACCTTGTGGTCCTAATTTAAACAAAGTACCTCCTATTCCTCCAACTGGGAGGCAAGCTGGGCAGAGGAGGTTGGCACTGCAGCAAAACAATAAGGATGTATAGCCTGCACATTTGAGAAGAAAAGCTAATGAAGCTACTGTGAACTCAGCTCTTCAGGACTAGTTCTGGAGTGGACCTAGGGGAAGGGGAGGACATTCCTGGAAACTACTATGCAAACCCCACTACAAGATAAGCATCTCAGTGGAGCGGGAAGTGAAGAAGAAGAGGAAGATGAAATTCCCTGAAGGGAAGACTGAGGCACCTGGGGCGAAAAGTCACAGAACCAGAGAGCTGGAATGGGCCGAAGAGATCACTTAGTACAAAGCCCTCATTTTACAGGAGAGGAAGCAGAATGACCAGAAGAGATCCTTGGGAAAAGGGGAGACCTACTATCTTTCGACCTACTATCTTGCCAAGATTGTTGTAAAATGTTAGGAAGCAGGACTGACCAATAACCACCAAAGACTTCTAGGCTGAAAGAGATGCCGGTTCAGGAGAGATCATGTCACAGTAAAAAGGAAAGAAGGGTAGGGTGGGAGGGAGTCACTGGACATCATCTAGTTCAGGAGCTCGTAACATTTTTTGTGCCATGGACTCCTCTGGGAATCTGGTCAAGCCTGCAGCCCCCTCCTCAGAATGTTTTTATTTCATTTTCTAATTTAGTAGTATTTTATTTTTTCAAGTTACATGTAAAGACAATTTTCAGAATGTTTTAAAATGCTTAAGATAAATACACAGGATTACAAAGGAAGTCAATCATACTGATATGATTATTGATGATTAAAAAAACAAACAAAAACTCCCCTAAATTCACAGACCCCAGGTTAGGAACACCTGTTCTAGTTCAACCATGACATTTTACAGATGAAGAAAGATAGCCTCAGAGAGGGGAGAAATGACTGGCCTAAAGTCACGTGGCTAATTAGAAGGAGGTGGGTATGGAAGTTGGCCAGAATCCAGGTATTCCTATTTCCAGGCCAAAGCTTTTCCCTCCCTAGCCCAAGTCACTTTCTCCTCCTTGCTCACAAGGCCCAGGCTCATTGCACGCACTCACCTGCCTTCCACCGTCTGTCATCATCTGTGACCATATCCACACCTCCGATCAAGTTATCCCAGAACTCCTGAAGATTTTCTGACTTGGGAAACCTTCCCGCCATTCCTGCAATCACCACCTCCTCCATGTTTCAGCTCTTCTCTGTAGGGTAAGGAGGGGAAGGAGAAGCCGAAAACTAGCAATGGAGTCCCAGCATACGAAGAGAAAAAGCAAGTTGAAGAACTGGTTATATAGAGTTCCCACCCACCACCTCCACTATGTTTCACTGGCTGATCCAAGGGAGATCTCTCTTGAAGACACCAAGAGGACGCTCATGTCTCTGGGAGAAACCAGTCCTGGCTTCAGCTGGCTGCCCGTGGGATCCTACTGCATTGCTGAGAGGGAGAGGCCGGGGCTTATTGGTAGGGCTGAATGACTAAGTCCAGAAACGGGCAGAATCAAGGAGAGGAAGGAGATAACCATGAGAAAGGAGATAAAATCACTTCAGACTGCCCTAAATTTCCTCCAAAATTCATGTAAAGAGTTGTCTGCCCATCAAGAACCTTGAACCTCATCAGAAAAAAAAAAAAAAAAGAATATAGGGGCAGCTAGGTGGCACAGTAGATAGAGCACCGGACCTGGAGTCAGGAGGACCTGAGTTCAATTCCAGCCTCTGATGCTTGACGCTTCCTAGCTGTGTGACCCTGGGCAAGTCACTTAACCCTGACTGCCTTGAACAAAAAGGAAAAAAAAAAGAGTATAAAGAAAAAATGATTACCTTCAGGTTCAAAGATAAAAAGACTCTGGTTTTTAAGGCCTGGCCCCTTCCTACCTTTCTAGTCTTCTTATATTTTACTCTCCTCCGCATATGCAGCAATCTAGTGACACTGACCTCTTTGCTGCTCCTGATCCTCAAGCTAGATATTCAATCTCCAATTTCTGAACATTTTCAGTGGCTGTCCCCCAGGCCTGGAACTCTTTCTCTTCTTGTCTTCAGGGTCTTTAGCTTCAAGTCTCAACTGAAGCCCAACCTTTTGCAATAATTCTTTCCTAGTTCTTCTTAATCTTAGTGCCTTCCCTCTGAGATTATCTTCCATTTATACAGTCTTACATTTTGTTTGTACACAATTTGTTCACAGCATTAGAGAGTGAACCCCTTGAGAGCAGGAATTGATTTTTGCCTTTCTTTGCGTCCCAAGCACTTAGCATGATACCTTGTTAGGTGGGCACTTAATAAATGCTGGTTGACTTGGGGAAAAAAAATTTTTTTTAAAAGAGTAAAACTTAATCCATGCAAAAATCAGAGCTGCATTGGAGATAGAGGGGTGTGAGGGATGTTAGAAATGTGAGGAGAGTGAAGGAGGCCAAACCATGGTGGGAATACGGGGCAGGGGAAGAAAGCGATAGGGAGGGAGATACAGAAATCAAATACTGGAGCGAAGTTGAGACCTGGAGACACTCAAGGTAGTAAGATGGGAGAAAGTCTGAATAGATGAAGAAAGAAGAGAAGAAGGGTATGTTGGCAAAAAGCCAGAACAATAGGGAAGAGAGACCTAGGAAAATCAACAGAGATAGAGGCCCAAGTCAAATCTCTTTGCTTCTGGGGGAGGAGCTGAGCTGAGCAGGGTCCTGGGGAGGAAGCACAAAGAATGACTTTCTGGACTCCCCCATGGCTCCGGCGTCCCAGGGAAACTTTAAGGAGAAATAACAGCATTGCCTGTTGCTTCCCCTTTTCCTTAGTCCTTGCTGTGAGGTAGGATAGGGAATCATCCCTAACACTGATCTTTCTCTGATCCCCTCCCAGTTCCCTAGCTGAGGGCCTGGAAGCTCAGGGGCTCCATCTCTCCAGGGGCTCCTGAGGCCTCCAGACCCAGATCACTGATGCAGAACTAGAACATTACCTGGTCCAAATCCTTAGAGTTTTACAGATGAGGAAACTGATGATGGGGTCAACTGTCTTATTAAGTAACAGAGCAGGGAATCCAACCCAGGTCATAGGCTCAAAAGCTGCAAGGGACCTTAGAAGGCCATTTAACCCAAGGCCTTCATTTTACAGATGAGGAAAACATTTGCCTGAGGTTGTACAGGTAGAGCAAGTAGCCAAACTAAGGTGCTTTGACTCTGGATCCACAGCTCATTCTACTAGGCCAGAATCCAGTCTCCTGGAGGGAGCCTGAGATTCCAGGCTGCAAAGCACACCTACCCTTTCTTCTTCCTCTGCCAGGAGGGCACAGAAGGCCAGGGATAGGGCTTGGCCACTTTCCCTCAGGTGAACTCTCTGGCTTTTGGCCAATTGCCAAGGCTCTGGAGGAAAAGGGAGGCTGATGTTCATGACTGGACGGTCATTAAGACCAGATCACTCCCCACCAGCTGCCCCCGAGCCAGAGTGACCCTCTTGGTTCTAGTCTCCCCAGGCAGGCCAGAGATAGGAGGTTCTTTCATTATTGACAAATCAACAGATTTATCAGTAAACAATGGAGGGCAGGGCACAGGCAGAGGAAAGCAAGCACTAAATTTGGGAGTCACAAGGCCTGGGTTTGAATCCTAGCCCCTTTCAAGATCAAATGAACTAGCTTAGGAAAGCTGCTTGCTCCATTCTCTCTGGGCCTCAATTTTTCATCTGTAAAATGAGGGAGATGAGATTACCTGGCCTTTCAAGACCCTTCTAGTTCTCAATCCTGAGGTCTCACAATTCATTTGTCTACAATATACAAGGCATTGTGGGAGACACAGAAATGAGTTATGAGGATTCCCCAAGATCAATTCCTTAAGGAATTGATAGTCTAGCTGGGCAAGATAGACACATAAAAAAAGCTCAATGATGGACATGCTGTGTAAGTGGAGGCAATAAATGCTAAAGGAAATCAGAGGTGGTGGTGGGATTCATTTCCAGCTAATGTATGACTTCAGAACTTAGCACAGTGATGGGCACATAGTAGGCACTTAAATGCTTGTTAACTGATGTCCCAGCCCTGGGTCCTCAAATTTTATATCTCTTTCCATTCTAATATCTATCTTGCAGGGGGATGGAATGGGCACCTGGGTGTCCCTTATTATCCAAAGGAAACAGAAGGTCAATTGCCTTGTTCCTTATCTTCCTTTAAGGAGGTAATTTCAGTATCCTGTGACTGGTGGTTGTTGGTCCCAGAGCCTGATTGTAACCACATGTCTAAGCCTTGAGGGGAGAAACAGCCCTTAGGGGGCTTAGAGCACGAAGGAAGGAAGAGCCACTATCCCATTTCTAAAATGACCTGTAATTGGCACACATACACCTCAGAAATCCAGGAAGGAATCATGGGTCAGTCCTGCTACAATTCCATTCTCCAGTCAAGCTTTCCTTGGGATCTATCTCCAGGCCTTCTTTCACCTCCTAGGGTAGAGTATGAGGTAGGGGGTCTGAAGGAGAGGAGGAAGTGGCTACTTTTCCACTGATCAGGCTGTTTCTGCCCACTGCTGTCCCGATATTCAGACTAGGCTCAGGAAGATGGTAGAAAACACTCTTCTGTCCCAGGTAATTACATGGAGAGTTCCAGGAACTCTCTAGGCCAGGGGCTCATGACCTTTTTAGTCGCCAGGGACCCCTTTGACTGTCAGGTCAAGTCTAGGGACCCCTTCTCAGAATGATATTTTTTAAATGTATAAAACAAAATACACAGGATTACAAAGGAGACCAATTACATAGAAACAGTTATCAAAATATTTTTTAAAGCAAGATCATGGACCTCAGGTTAAGAACCATTGTTCTAGGCAGTGGAAACCCTAGAGGGCCATGGGATCAGAACCTTGGGTAGCAAGGACAAGACCAGGGGCAGCTACGTTTTCACAATTTGAGCAACTGATGACACAGGTGAATTGTTCTCCATCAGCCCTCTGAAAACCGGCAGAGCTAATGATTAAATAGCATGGAGTACCCTTCCTGTAGGAGGAATCCATCCTTTGGCTTCTCTAAGTAGAGTGAGAAAAGCCTCCTATCTCCCCAGGACTCTCACACAGGGTAGGTTTCAGTTCTCTCTCCTAATGACAGAGGCAGGTAGGATCTACTGAGGGGAGGGAGGGAGCAGTTTTTCCTCCTGCTCAAAGCTCTTTCTCTATCTTGTGGAATAAGCAGTCTTTCATCCACTCCATATGACTGGTGTGGAACTCCCAGGCACCAGCTTGCCTCGTTCCAGAAATCGGTTCCTCTGTTCTCTACCTACTTGCTATGCACACGGAGTTCTGGTTGGGAGGAAATGCTTGGCTGGGCCCTTCCAAGGCCAAGCTTCCCAGGAACAAACTTCCAAGGCTGTTTGCTGTGGGTCCATGTTTCTCCACACATTCTCTGTGCCTCCTAACTGGGTGATCTGTCTTTCCCTCTCCCATGCTGGAGAGGTGGCTATCAGCACTTAGCCTGGGCTGAGGCTTCTGAAGGAAAGGGGCTCGAGAAAAGAGGTAGGGTAGTCTTGCTTACTTTTGTACTCTGTAAGCTTCAGTGGCCTCAATTTTGAAATCCTCAGCAAATACACTCAAAGGTACACAAAAGGTCCTCCAAGGTCCTGTAGTTGCAGTTCTCCTGCCCTTTTCCACGCTGCCCACATCACTTGGCACTCCCTGTTCTGTTCTCTATTTGCTTTCTCTCCTAGAGGACCTTAGTGAGGATACTACAGGCAGCTTGTCAGCAAAGCCACTCCCCAAGATGAGGAGAAAAGTCATTTCCTCTCCTTGCCAGGTCACTGACGGTCAGATCTAGAAAGAACCTTAGAGGTTCTGTAGGAATGTGATACCTGATGTGGTGAAATTACTTGTCCAAAGTTACCCAGCTATCTAGTGGCAGTTAAGACTGGAACCCAGGTCATCAGACTTCTAGTCCAATGCTCTGGCCACTGTAACCACCACCTCCCTGGGGAGAAGACCTCCAGAGGCCAGACTAAGTGAGGCTCTATAGGTAAAGGGACCACATAGCTCCCAAATATGGAGAATATTTTTCCCCACAGCAACCAACGTCTCCAACAAGACCAAAGTCTGGGTGGCTAACATGCAGAAAATCCCTTTGCTTGTCCTAGTTTCTGCCTCACACACACACAAAAAAGAGACAGGGCTGAGAACTTAGTTTCCAGTGGCATTATTCACAGGAAGGGGACTGTACCCCCCTTCACGAGTTCCCATACACACAGAGGCTGCATTATGTGCAGGGTGAGGAGGAGGCTGAAGGAAGAGAGAGAGGAACAGAGTATTTTTTTTTTTTTAATCTTCAGGTCTACTGGTAGCTGCAGCCCTGGCCAAGCCCGTGTGTAACTCCATCTCCAAGGGCTGAGATCAAAATGGCTGTTTGTAGAACCTGCACAATGCAGCAAGCACACTCCATTCCCATCTCTCCTTCTCTCTCCTCTGCTATTACCTCACCTACTCATTGCATTTCCCCCATCCCCCATTCGAGCTCATCTACACCCCTCCTCCTCCCCCTACCTTCCTGAGCAGGGAGGATTCCCTGCCAGTGAGGTGGAGTTTCAAACCAGATTCCCTTCTGTTCCTTGGTCAGGCCCCTGATCAGCTGAAAGGAGGTTTAGGGTCAACTTAGGAATTTGATGCCTAACTGCTCCTTCCACAGCAAAGGTTAAAGTGCAGCTAAGGGTGGGGGTGGGGGGGGTAAGGGAAGCAAGCAGGGGGCATTTAAAAGGAGTTAACAATTTGAGTCCAGTTGCTTTGGCGAGGTATATACTGCTTGATGAAAAGCTAAGCGCGTGACATCCGGTCTCCCCCTCACTCTACAGGCTCCCCAAATTTCCTAATACAAGCAGAGAGAGCCCTGTCTGGGCAGAATCTTAGCCACAGCCTCCTGCTCCAGAGGCAGGTAAGCTCCTCCTTCAGCATCCACACGGTAGTAGTTACAGGCGAGGAGAACCGCATGAGCTTTAATGAGGAAGCGCACACCCGGTTATTACGGCACCCCCCACCTTCTTCTCTCGGGCAAGGCCTCAACTCGGCCCACTTTGCTCTGCCCCTGATGGGGACCAGGTGGCCTGGATCCAAGTCCTGGATGGAGGGGGGGAGGTTGGGCTAGCAAGGCCATGCCTCCTCGGTAGCCTGATGGGGGGGCAAGATAGTTCTCCCCCCAACCCCGCCCCTGCCCAGAGCACGAGGGTCTCCAGCGCCCGGCGCTCTTATCGCTCTGGCCTTGACCTCGGATGCGGAGCTTCCGTGGTCCCCCCCCTCTCGTGCATCCCAGCTCCCCAGCTCTCGGTGGCCCAGGGCGGAGGGGTGAAGCACGCTGTCGGCTTTTTCTTTTCTTTTTTTGTCTGCTTGTTACCTGGGCCAGCTGCGGGGCTGCGTGACGGGAGTGGGGGTCGGGACCCGGCTCGGTCAGGCCGCGGGGGTGATGCTGATGCTGGCGGCGGCGGCGGCGAGCGAGGGATGCCGGCCGAGGGATCCTGGGGCGGGAGGCTGAGTGGAGCTGCTGCTGCTGGGGCTGCTGCGGCGGCGGCGGCGGCGGCGGCGGCGGCTGCTGCTGTTCAGGCTGCGGCGGCCGCTTCCTTTCTCTCTGTCTCCCTCTAGCTCCAGCTCCCGACTCTATTTAAACAGCTGCCATCCTCCCGTGGCCACGCCACATGGGCTGACAGTTTGGCTCTTTCACGCAGGCCAATGAGCGGCCGGGCCCGGCTGCCGGAGCCGGCCGTGGGGTGATCCCTGTGCGCGGGGCTGGCGCGAGTCCCAGAGAGGGGACCCTGGACGGAGGAGGGGGAGGGGGCGCCGGGGAGGGGAGGAGGCGCGCCCCCTCGGGCGGGGCCCGGCGCGGGGAGGGGCGGGACCCGGCGGCTCATCCTCCTCCTCCCCCACCCTCGGCATCCCCCTTTCCCTGTTTTACCCCACCCCCACGCCCCCAGCGGCTCTCTGGCTGCTAGCTGAGTTGTCCCGGGTGGCCCAAACCCTCTTCCCAGGGCCGAGGCGGGGTCGGGAAGGGGGGGGGTCTCCGCTTGCCCTCCGCCCAGTCTCTGGTGTGGGTCCTCCTGCCCACCCCCGCCTCCAGACTGAGTCCGGGACTCCCGCGCGCGTGATTCCGGGTGGGGTGTGTGGGGGGGAAGCGGGCCATGTGTGCAGACGGCGCTGGCAGGTCCCGGAGCGCCATGTGTACAATTAGCCCCCGAAGGGAGCCACGAATGGGAAAGCGGGTGCTCGTGTAGGGCAGAAAGGGGTGCACAGGTGGCGTGGCGGTAAGGGTGGGGGCGCTTCGGCCTAGCCTCGCCGCGCGCACACGTTCCCATGCCGCCGCTTAGGGGAGAAACGGAGTGACTGGGGCTGGACGGGCGCCCTCGGCTCATTCACTCGGCCTCGGCCAATCTGGAGCCTAGGGGCGTGCGCGCCCCTGCCAGGCCGGGCCAATGGCGGGGCCTGTGTAGGTGTTGCTAGGCGATAGGGTGATGAGCTGACTGCGTGGGTGGGTGGGGGATCCAGGCGCGAGCCCGCGGGGTTGCTCGCTGAGCTGGGCGCCGGCCCGCGTGCGGAGGTGGACGCGCATGGAAGCCGCCGTGGCTTATTTGCGGTCATTCACCCCTGCCGAGTGCGCTCCCGCCGGGGTTACTGCAGTTCACGGGCAGGACTGGGCGGGCTCCGCGCTCCCCTCGCCCTCCGCCCCAGGGGGGGCGCTCCCCCTCCCTGTCCATGCTCCCTGAATCCCCGGAAGAGGGCGTGCGGCCTGCTGAACCCTATGTCTCCCTCTTCGCCCTCGGGCATCGAGCCAGTTTTTCTTCCCCAAGACCCTTCTGGGTCCCATTTTGCTGTGGGGGAATCTGTGTGTCTGCCTCCACGCCTTGCTTTGCAGTCTCGTTCACCTTTGGCCGGACCCCACCTGTCCGTAGGGCTTCGATTGAGGCCGAAGGGAGTTCCTGCTGCCTCCCCCCAAGGGGCTGTCTTGGACTCCCTCTGAAGCGTGCTAGTAGTCAAAAGTTAGCCCTCCGGCCTTTTTCCTCTCCTCCTTCCACTGGGTAGGACACCGGATAAATGCAAACCCATTTAACTGGTTGCTTTGGCCAGCTCGGTTTTCTGAGGGTGGGGTAAGGCTCTTTGGGAACATTAAATTTGCCGTTTTCGACGTTAGCAGATACCTGTGCGAGGGAGAACTCGAGTGAGAGACACTTAATTTTAACTTCTTTGGTAGCCGGGTGAAAGAAAACGTATGGAGTTCCGTTTATAAAGCTTTATAAATCTTGTTGAGATGGAGTCCCTGCCCTAGGATGTTTACAAAGTAATTATGGCACAATAGTGGAAAGGAATAGGTGAAATGAGAAAAGTAAAGTGTGCTTGGGAGAGGGGAGAGAGTACTTCTGGCCGAGAAGGAAGGGGAGGTGACATTTGAGCTAACCAAGTCTTGGAAGAAGGATAGGATTTTGACGGTTACAATGGGCTTAGAGGCATTCCAGGAAAAAGAAACTGCTTCATAGAAAAACACTAGATGGGAAAGTATACATTTAAGGGCAAGAAGAAATGAGTAGTGGCATGAGCTCAATTAAACCAGCTCTCTTTCCTTGACACTCTTAGGATTTCTTCCCAATCCCTCGTTCATAGTTCTTTGTTCTGTCAGCCTTCAAGTCCTCAAAAGCTTGGTTTCTGGAAGAAATATGGTAGTGGGATCTTACTGTTTTGGTCTTCCCTCCTCCCTTTCCTTTGTAGTTGAATTTGCAAACTCCATCAGAACAGAAAAGGAGCTATCTCAGAACTTAACTAAGGCCTGAAAGGTGGTTCAGCACTGATTTCCTTAAGAGGAAAGGTTGATTTGTAGTACTTCAGCCATTTCTTTGTTTCCTCTCCCCAGTCACTCAGGTTGTCACTTGAATGGTCTTTGTTCTATCTCCTCTTAATTTCAAGAAATTTTCATTTTCTATCCAGAGGTCATTAGAAATCTGAAGTTCTTAAATCAGGTCTCCCTCTTTCTCTACTGATTTTTGAGGCAATGTCATTTGCCGCTTCCCTCAGGAGATGGCATTGTTTTTGGTAAATGTTGCTACCCTTTGGAGCAAAACTTGACTTTTGGAGTTCATTCTGCTCCCTTAACCTCTTGAAGACATAAGTCTTAAGTAGTGATTTCCATAGTTCCCTGAAGTGCAACATACTCTTTATTTTCCTGGATAAAGGACTTTTTGAAATGACCAGATATAAAGCCAAGGAGACAAATTCTAAACCTATTCTCCCTTTTCCTGTTGGCCAATTCAAATTTAGCTGAAGCACTGATATACTGGATTCTAGGAAGACAAGGATGTTGTTTTCATATCTCTCCAAAATTCTCTCTCTGATTATTCATTATATAGCAAGCAGTTACATAGACCAGTAGCACCACTGGTATTTACAGCATCCTGCAGGAATAGACTGAGGCAATATATCTCCTGGGAAGAAGGTTAGGGAGCTGCTTGCCTAGTTCAGTGTGTGAGCTACATTTTCTAGGAAAGGAAACTGACAGGAAAATGATAAATGTTAACTCAAAGCCCTTAGGAAAATCTAGCTGTTCAAGTCAAATTCAATAGCCCATTTAGTGTATACTCTGCAGATGGTAGATTATAGTAATACAAAAATGAAACCAGTCTCTGCTCTTAAAGAGATTATAATCTAGTGGAAGAGATAATAATTTTAATAAAACAAATGCACAGGAGGGGCAAAATACTGTTTCGAGAGATCCTGGAAGGAATCACTTAGAGCTGGGGATGGGGAAAGCATGAAATCTGGGAAAGTTTTATCTAGAAAGTAGGTCCTGAATTGTATCTTGAAGGAAAAGAAGGGTTGGTTCAGCAGACAGAGATGTGGGAGGAGGCCATTTGAGATCTAGAGAGACCATAAACCACAGCAACAAGTACTGAAGGAGTGCAGGTGGTACAATGAGTAGCTTTGCATTGACTAAACTAAGCTAGTATTGTACTAGGAGTAGGGAAAGGTTGAGAGTTCTGGAAAAAGACAAAATAGAAATGGGGGGAGGAGGAGGGGCAGGGCCAGTATTGACCTCCAGTACTGGCTGTTTTTGTAACAGTGGCATTGCATGTGAATTTCATGTGGGTAAGTGGCAAGACCCTTCTAACAGATGTATTGCTGGTGAAAGGAACCTTTTGGTTGCATGAGAAGGGGCAGGAAACAACATGCATTAGTAGCTGAATAGGTTTTAAATATTTTCTTTTTATTATGAACTTAGCAATCATCAACACAAACATTTCAACCTACAAAGAACAAAAAGGGACGTTTACAAGGTAGTGATAAACCTAACCTATGGTATTGCCTTCTCAACTTTTTTCTTCTGTGTATTTTAAGTATTTTGTTGATGCTATTTTTTTTTTTGCATCTCTATCACGACTCACTAAGTTACACCCCTCCCATTCCCACCCTTTATACCCTAACAGATAAGTATGGTCAAGCAAAACAAATCAACACATTGGCTAGGTCTGAAAATGCCTCACTCTGTACCTCTAGTGGATTACCTTTTTGCCAGTAGGAAGAAGGCAAGGCTTAGGCCCCCTCATTCTGTCTCTGGATCCCAAGGCTACTCATATTGGCCCTGGTTGGAAAAAACACTTAGGTTAGTGCCATAAAGTGGATAAGGCTGTTGAGAATGACACAAGTGCCTGGCCACATATGGTTCCTGCTTTACAAGGAGAATGCTAATGAGATCTAAGGTAGGCCTTTGGAAATTCAAAACCATAGTAAGGTTGTGCCACAAAAAGAATTAAGTCAATATGTCCACAGCCTGCAACACACTGAAATGATCTCCACTATTTAGAAATAACTCTATCATGACCCATTTCTAGATGGTGGCAATAAGGCTGAGCTCATGCCTGGGAGCAGAAATGCTTGTTCCCCCCTCTTGAGATGTAGGATCTCAAAGCATGAAAGGACTCCACCTTCTGCAATAAGGGATCCAGTTTGAATTAATGACACTGGGTGTCCTCATTTAAGAGGAAGTATCTGTGAGGCTAACAAAAGGGTGACTGGGGATAACTTTGGATTAGTATGAAAATGTCTGCTTTCCTAGTGTCACACCATTCTGTAGATCTCCTTATCAAAGCGTCCCACGAGAGTATGGGTCCTGAAAGAGTAGGGTCCAAAGGATATGGCCCTCTTCCTCTTGCAAGGTTGGCACTGAGAAGCTCTATCACAATAATGGTTAAACACTGTGAGGGGAAAATACACAAGAAACACTTCTACTACAGATAGACATCCTCTTCCAGCTCTCTTACCAGGTGTTTTTTTTTGTTTTGTTTTGGGTTTTTTTGGTAATTGGGGTTAAGTGACTTGCCCAGGGTCACACAGCTAGTAAAATGTTAACTATTTGGTCTGAGGCCAGATTTGAACTCAGGTCCTCTTGACTTAAGGGCTGGTGCTCTATCCACTGCACCACCTAGCTGCCCCCAGGTTTTCTTAAAAAAAAAAAATATCCATCATACATACAGGAATATAGGTGGAGCTGGGCATTGTCCACATATCCTAGAAACAGAAGAGCAGTCACTGTATGGGTCTGATAACAGAGAGCCAAGCCCCAGTGTAACAGTAGGTCACTTTTGCTACTGTTAGCCAGGAAGTAAGAGATTTTCATGACATTCTTTAGTTTTGATTCATTGTATAAGTATTTATGCCATATAGGACAACTCACAACCTACCATCAAGACTATTGTAAAAGCTAAGATGCTTGTTAATTTTAATTAACTCTGTAGGCAACACCAATTAAGCCATCTCCAACAAAATGTGTAACATAGAAGTTTCTATTCTTGAATCTAAGAACTTACTTTCCTGCCTTGCTCCTCTATCCCAATCACACCAACAATAGAGCTGTCCACAAATTCCAGTAGATCCTGTCATTGGAGAAGAGAAGAGCTGGGCACTGTCATATTTAGGTTAGTCTTTCACGTTATAATTCCTGATTTTTGATGATTTCTGAGTAATTTTTGGTTTTGCAGGATGGGGCTTAGAGGACTTGGTGGATTTTGGTCTTGGCTGGACCTCCAACTTCATTCCTTCAATGGTAAAAGCTCTGGGAGTCCCTACTGTATCCTGGTTCAGTTCTTGGAGGCTGTCAGCTGCTCTGGGTGCTAGAAGCTCCACTGTGTAAAGAGAAAGAGAAAAGAGTTTTGTTAAGATTATTAAGACTAAAAGATTAAACAAGTTAACATTTTTAAAAATTTTTAAAATTAAGATTGAAAAGGCATGTGATTATTGTATAAGTACAGATGAGAAAATGAAGCTCTGGATATGTTAAGGAACTGGCTGTTGGTTTAAAATTATTTCCCTTTTCCCTTCACCAGCAGGATCTCTTGAATCTCCTGAATGTCTTTAACTGATGCCAGGACAAGTTGGAGAGCCTACAGAAGCAGCTGTTGCAACTGGCTTGCACAACAACTTTAGCTACTGTGTCCTGTCCTCAGTGTCCTGGGGGACAGGAGGTCCTTGTGAACATGTGCTCTTTAAATGCTTCCCTGATCCAGCCTTAGCCCTGTACTCTCCACTGGGGCACTGAGGACACTTGGACCTAGAGAAACACAAGTTCTTGTCATGACTATTTCACAACATGAAATAGAAATGTCATATTCTGGTCCTGTTCTAAGCCAAAAGAAAGAATAATGTGCACTTTTGTGGTTAATAGTTTACTTTAAGTTTCACCTCTCAGGCAGCTTTTTACTAGCTTTCAACAGTTAGTCAGTAAGCATTTGTTTTGTTTTGTTTTGTTTTTTGTCTAGGCAATGGGGTTCAGTGACTTGCCCAGGGTCACACAACTAGTAAGTGTTATGTGTCTCAGGCCAGATTTGAACTCAGGTCCTCCTGAATCCAGGGCTGGTGCTCTATCCACTGAGCCACCTAGCTGCCCCCAGTCAGTAAGCATTTGTTAAACACCTACTAGGTGCCAGGCACCATGCCAAGGATACAGAGTCAAAACAGTCCTTGTCCTCAAGGAGCTCATAATCTACTGGCACCATCATCTGATGTGAATGCTGTCAAAATGAAGCCTAGTACCCCACAGTAGCCATTTGAAAAACGTCTGAGCCAACTGTCTGCTTTTCTATGAGTAAGTTCAAACATTGCACCAGGAGAAGTTGGCTACTTCAGTCAGTCCTACTTCATGTGAACTCAAGCAGGAGAGCTGGAAAAAGCAAATGTTAGAAAATTATAATTGTTCTTCAACTACTTCATCTTTTTCCCTTTGTCATTTATATACAAGTAAGAGTATCTCTTGGTGATTGAGAGAATAAAGTCCTTGGGCTGGTTGAAGGATCCATCCCTGTGTCTTGAGATGGGACTATACTCAGACCACTCCAGAGAAAGAGCTTTTCTTTTCCTCAGAAATTTCCAGTAGTCTCTATCACCTTTCTTAACATCATGTTAGCCTTTTACTACTAAGATAATGCTTCCAGTCTAGGATCACTATGTGCATTACAGGTGTTTTCATTTTTTTTTTTTATTTTGATCTATATATCCCTCTATTGTTCATTCAAGACAATGGACTGTGTTCAGAGGTGAAGTCTGTGGCCATGACTCAGCGCAAAATTTAACTAACCCAAGTGGAACCTGAACCTATTACCTCTACCTCAGCATGACCCCTCCTAAAAACTGACCTAAGACACAAAGTAAAAATAGCCAACTAGAAAAGACATAGGGCACGATCTGAGCAAATTGATGATTGAGGTACATCACATACAGAGCAAGTTGGCTGACTAGTTAGTTACTGAAAGTTAGTTGCTTTCTCTAAATTGCTCCAATCCCCAAATCTCAAAAAAAATGCATGTTACATAATAATTACAACCTTAATCCATAGGAAAATAATGTTCTTCCCCTCTATTATACACATATTAGATATAACATCTCATGAATTAGCCTCTAGAAAATCTTAATACTTGGTGCTCTTGTTCAATATTCCTACTCCCAACCAAACCCATATATTCACTGTGATGAACACAAGTGAGCAGGATAGTCTTGAGACTTCGGGCCTAGGTATAAGGCCTCCCCGTGACAGTAGCTCTACCCAAACCACCACCTGAACAAGAAGAAGACACTGATTCTGCCTAGCCATTTAAAAGAAAAGAGAATATAAAAATCGGACAAATTTTCAGGGGAAAAAAGAGACTCAATGAAATAGAAGGCTTTCAAGTATTTCTGATGAAAAAAGTAGAGCTGAGTAGGAATTCTGAAATGTGAGCACAAGAGTCCAGAAAAATCTAGAAAGGTAGATTTGAGCAAATGGAAGGAGCTATATGATAAAGTGCTAAAATTCTAATGGGGAGAAGAAACAGCTTCCTTTCAGAACTTTAATGTCTTTAAAAGGTATTGACGGAATTAAGTAAGAAAAAGAAGACTTGGGGGTGGATTGGTTCTATTCTGAGGGTTTTAAGAAAGGAAAGAAGGTGAGGCTAAAAGGAATATATGAATGTAAAAAGGAGGAAGAGGGGGTGGGATTTACTATTTTTCACAACTGAAGTGTATGAGAAAAAGTATACAAACGTAGAAGATGTGAGAGGAGTGGGTTTCATATGAACTTCATTCTTATCTGAACCACACAAAG